TAGATGAAACGCGCGAACAAGACCAGAAAGATTGTTTTGCGAATGTGTGTGTGTGTGTGTGTGCGTGCACACCTTGAAAAAAAAACGAAAAAATTTCACTAGAATTTTTTTTCCTTCAAAAAAAATAACATTCTCAGGAATCAAGGTACAACAACAACAACAACAAAAAAAAGATAGATTGTATCGATTTCCTTGAACATTGAATATATGAATGACCATTGAAATTTGAATCCATATGGAGAAAAAATTTGATTGAAATTGATTGAATCGATTATTTATTTCTACAAAATATGAATCAATCATCATCATCATCATCATCATCAATGATGAATCATTCTATTTCATATAGATCATATCATTCAATATGACCAGGATGAAAACCTGATCCTTATTTATAAAGAATAATGACGATGATGATGATGATGTGAGATGATAGGAAAAAAAGAGAAGAGGCATACACACACACACACACATACGTTTAATATCGTTGATCTTTAATTCGATTCTCAATCCAAAATTGAATGGCAAATGTGGATGTTATATATTAATGTATTATGTCAGTAGAAGAAGAAAAAGTCAGGGCGCACCTTAATTTTTTTTTTTTTTATTTTTTTTTTTTTGCCATAAATGTGTAACATTTGAGTAACAACGAGATAGCAAAAAAAAAAACTTGTCATTTTTTTTTCTCTTGATCAAACAAATATATATTCGAAATGGTCGATTGATTCAATATCGATGAAAGAACGGCGCACACACACACACACACACAACAGACAACGTGAGAATCGATTTTTTTTTTGGCTTGGACCCTTGTCAAACCAAATAACAAATCTTGTAATTGGCCAACATTAACCAAAAAAAAAATTCCGTTGATAATGATAATTATGGTGATGATAATGATGATTATCATCATCATCATAATAATCATACCTTGACTAAATAATAATCATTGTGTAAATGTTTCAGTGTTTTTTTTTTTTTTAATTTTTATTTTTCAGCATTCATATAACCGGCCATCATATTATACATCAGTATGTGTGTGTGTGTGTGTGCCGCACCTCCCCATATTTGAATTTTTTTCTCGGTTTTTTTCATACTAATAATATAATCAACTGTTATATATATGAATGAATGTGGAAAGGAAAAAAAACTCCATTTCCAAGGTGTGTTCCACCACCACCACCACCACTTGAACAGCGAATAACAGGTCAAAATTCAATTCAATTTAAATGCTCAATTCATTTTAAATCTGAAAAACGACAAAGAGAGAGAGAGAGAAAAGGATAATGAAAATTGGCCAACAACAACAAAATCTATAGCTATTATGGATTCAACCAATGTTGATGATGATGATGATGATAATGAGCTAATGTCTTGGCTATTTTTTTTTTTATTTCATGAATTGATGAGATTAAGGGGTGTTTCATCCTCTACTAATTGGAGCAATTCGTATCCATTTCCAATTTCATCAATTAAGGGGTGAGGTTTTTTTTTGATGATGGCACAGGATGTAAAATAAAATCCAAGAAAAAAAAGGACGGGTTATTATTATTGTTGTTGTTTTATGTTGGCATTTGACCATGAAGAATTTAGAATTTAAATTTTTTAGTTATTATTATGGTCATTCATTGTTCATCAAGATGATAATGATGATGATGATGATGATAATGTGGCCAGGATGTGGTTAGTGTTTCTTTCTACTGATGATTATGATTGATAATTTAAATGAATGAATGAGTGAATAAGACGAATAGAAAAAAAATGCAAAGATGTATCCATCCATATGTGCGATATGAGATCATTTTAAATTTTTTTTTTCAATACCAGAAAAAATAAATTTTTAAAGATGAAAAAAAACATTCCATGGAAAAATGTCCATCATCTGAATTTGAAATTGTTGTTGTGGCTGTTGTTGTTGTTGTTGTTGATGGTGATGACCAACAACTTGAACGAATCGAAAGATGATGATGATGAGACCTGAAGATTGAGGACTGAACAACAACTGTCAAATATAAATGTTGATTTAAAGTGGCAGGTTTTTTTTTCTCCAATCCAACCAATGTGAGATGAACTGAAAACTGACCATGAAAATTATCATCAAGTTTTTTTTTTCGTTCACATCATTCTATATAACTTTGATCATCGAAGTTTTGGTGCAATCCAAATGTTGTTGTTGTTGTTGTTTTTCCTTTCTGAAGGGGCTATATAAACAAATACTTGAAACCTGTCTCTATGTATGTATATCGGTTGTTCATTTTCGAGCCAATCATCATCATCATCATTGATAGTCATCCAGTTTCAAGTCTGTCAAAAAAAAAAAAAAATAATAATAGACTTGACTTGAATTCCAAAAAAAAAAAAAAAAAAATTGTCGGTCTTTTATATGTAGGGTAAATTGTTGCTGATTCGCTCATCATCATCATCATCATCGTTCAATGGTCAGTGGTCAGTTCATTAAATTATTTATTCACCACAACACACTATTGTATATATAAATATAGCCATTGGCCATCATTATCATCAACGATGTGTCACACATTTTATGGTTATGTGTGTGTGTGTGGTGGCTATATTTAGAATCATCATCATTGCTGATGATCTACAAACCAACCACAAACAAAACAAAACAAAAAACAACAACAGCAATAATGAAAATAGAAAACACTGAAAACTCTTTTTTCCCAAATGACTTGGTCACCTAAAAAAAAAAATGGAAAAACAAAATGGACAACAACAACAGCAGCAGCGACGTTGGCGACTCAAATCAAATCAATCAGTTATTTTTTTTCTCATTACATATATAACATTGATTGTGTTTCTGTTGTTGGTGATTAACTTGATCATCAATTTCTGAATCTGATCTATTTGATTAATACGATGTTTTTTTTCGAAAAAAAGCTGATATGATCATTGATGATGATGATGATGATGATGATCAATCTGTTCGGACATTCATCGATTTGATCTGATTACAAATTTAATCGAAAAAAAAGGGTGATTTTGGTGGTCAGTGTAGTTAGTCAGCCGGTCCACCGGTCAGTTGGTTGATCGAAAATCGATTAATAATCTATTCATTCATTCATTCAATTTATTATTATTGAAACTTGTTCTAACTCTATATGGGTTGACATTTTCAATTTATTTTCATTTCTAATTTTGGAATTCGAAATCTTTGATCTGATTTGTTTTTTTTTTGTTGTTGTTGTTGTTTGAAATTCGTATGAGAATGAATATTGAGATGGCTGGTTGATTCGTATAAAAATTTTCTTCGCTTGTCATCATCATCATCATTTCAGGCTCGTTGATTCAATTCGATTCGATTCGATTCGATTTGGAATCATTTTTTTTCTTTTGAAAAATAAAAAATAAAATAAAAAAAGCCCTGCAAACAAGGTGAAGATTTTTTTTTTTTTTGCTTCACTATCTATCTATCGTGTATTTGGTTCGCTTGTCAAAGAAAACAAAACAAAACAAAACGAAAATTTCATTCTCTCTCTCTCTCTCTCTCTCTCTCGCCTTTTCTTGTGAACCCAAGAAAAAAAGTCTGAAAGAAAGAAATTTGAAAATAAAAATACAATCCACACCCCCTTCTCCTGTCATATTTATTTTGTTTTTTTATTGAAGACCAAATTGATGGTAAACCTATGGAAAACAGCTGCCATACCTATATCTATATGTTGCCCACGGGGTCGATCTTCATCAAAATCGAATCGTTCATAGCCATCTCGTTGTCGTAGTCTTAGTCTTCACTTTAGACTGGTGGCCTCACCTGTTTTTTTTCTGTTGCTAATTTTTCAAATTCACGTACAGCATATGTTTTTTTGGTTGAGATCCACTAACATATACACAATCATCATCAAATGGCGGGTGGTTCTTAGTTCTGGGCTTGATGATGATCATCATCATGGTGCGCCAAATGATGACTATGATGATGATGATGATGAAAAAAAGGTACCCAACCTTGTTGATTTGGTTTTTGTTTTTGTTTTTGTTGTTTGTTCGAAAGACCTTGGCCATTGGCATATTTGACCTTTTTTTTCTCTCTCCCTCTCTCATAATTTGTGAAGCATCCTCATCATCAAATTCGCACCATCACCACCTTTGTTACCTTTACCTTTTTTGATTTGTCGATTTTTTTTCGCTGCTGCTGTTGTTGTCTTTCAAATGTTGATGATGATTAGTTTGTTTGAAAATAAAAACAAACAAGAATCTTCTTCATCTTCATAATATGAACATTTTTTTTTGTTTGTTTGTTTGACTGACAGCCGTATTTAACTGAACTTTGATTTTTTTTTTTTTGATGTTGAATGATTAGAATGATGGTTTGTTTTTTTTCGTAGTTATTCTAGTTATCTGGATGATTCGTGTGTCCATCCAATCATTTTGTGTACATATTCGAATGTTGATGATGATGATGATGATTAGAAGGAAAAGTTTTTTTTCAAAAATTAAAAATTTTTTTTCAATCGAAAAAAAACTGTCAAAATGAGCCGTTGTTGATGATGAACTGAAAAATTATTATTAGTTTTTCAATGTTTGTTTGTGCCGGACAAATAACAAATCCGATTGATTGATCGATAGTTTGACCGCGTCCGACCAACACATACAGACAAATTATACACTTGTTAAAAAAATGTTGTGATTTTTTTTTTACTTTTTCCACGAACTTGTCAAACTTTCATTTTACTGCAAACACAAACATTTATTATTTCATTTCATTTCGATGTATTGATGATGTATTGTATGGAGATGTTAATCGCCTCAAGGTAGGTGAGAGAAAGAGAGAGAGAAAATCAATAAAACACACAAATTTAAATTTTTAAAATTTTCAAATCCGACAATGATTTGATGTGAAAAATAAACCTTGAAAGCGTGATGATGATGATTTCAGCACAAACGAATTCGAATGTATGTATTCGAATATTTGACTCTATTTTAACCACATGAACAACACACAATAAACGGATTTTTGTACATTGACCCTATTGACAAACAAAAAAAAAAAAAAATAAACATTTGATCATTATTTTCACCGGTAATTATATTCTATTTGACCGGATCATTATTATACACACTCACAAATGCTGTTTATCATAAAATTTAATCAATATTTCTATATATTTTGATCAACCTGTTGTTGAACTGAACAAAGCTGAAACAACAACAACAACAACAACAATGATTAAATGGCTAGATTGGCAATTTATCTTTGAACAACAACATACAACGAAAAATTTTGTTTTTGTTTTGTTTTGTTTGTTTGTTTGTTTCATAATTTGGCCAAAATTATTAATGATGATAATAATAATTTTGTCCATTTCTAGATCATAGATTAGCAAATTGATCTCGATTGATATTTCTCAAGTCTAATTTTTTTCGTTCGTTTTTGTTTGTTTTTTTTTTTATTTTTTTGTTGTTGTTGTTGTTGTTGTTGATTAACATAATTACTAAATTTTTCATTATTTTTTTTCTCCTATATAGTAAATGAATGTCGATCAGATGATCAATCATCAGCTTTAATCACAAAAGATGCACTTGAAGGTGAAACCATACGATTAGATTGTCGTTATAATCCACGTCTTTTGGATCTAAATTCCAATAAATTAATATTCTATTGGCATCGAAAGAATCATCTTAAAACTGATCCTGTGGCCATCAATGAAAATCCATTAGAAATTGATTATTTAATTGAATATAATACCGATGAAGGTATCTATGATCTGATCATCAAAAAAGCACAATATGATCGTGACAATGGACAATTTGAATGTAAAATAAAAGAAGCTGGTAATGGTGCCGAAGTTAAAAGCCGTAGCTATATGGTCACGATTTTAAGTAAGAAAAAAAAAATATTGTTTTTTTTCCCATCACTCGACTTGATTTTTTTTTACCTACTAAACTACATATTTATTTATCTTTTTTTCCCTATCTCACCTCACCATCATCATCATTTACTGTCGATAATTGAATCACCCACCAAACGAAAATTAATAGTTCCGCCTGGACCACCGATCATCACACCAAACAATCCAATTGCGCGTGAAGGTGAAAAATTTCGTTTAAATTGTTCAAGTGAAGGTGGCTCACCAGATCCAGTGATCCAATGGTTTCGTGATGGTAAACTTCTTGATGGCCAAATGTATTATGGCGGTACACGTAGTCGACCTACAATAAATACATTGATCATTGATCCATCTTTAGATCATGATCGTGCTATCTATAAATGTACCGTCTGGAATCGTGCTACACCACAGGAACGTAAATTGGAATCATTTGTTTCACTCACTGTTCATTGTAAGTGTCGACAATCTAATTTAGTTTTTTTTGTTTGTTTGCAATAAAAACAACAAATTGACGACGAATGTTTTTTTTTATTGACAGATAAACCACGTATTACTGTTGGTCCATATAATCCTCTAAATGTTCCTAATGATGGTAATGCTGAAATGAATTGCCAGGTGGAAGCTAATCCTCCTGTTCGTTCAATAAGATGGATGAAAAATGGTATGGTATTGGCCAATACAAATAACCATACTATACTTCGTGTTAAGCCTGAAGATTCAGGAATGTATGATTGTATTGCTGATAATGGAATCGGTGGACAGCCATCAAATAAATCATTAGAATTGATCGTATTACATGGTCCACAGATTAGTTTATTATCATTTAAAGAAGCAACAACTGGTGAAAATGTTAATATTAAATGTAATGTCATTTCGAATCCTAAACCACATTCAATAGTATGGTATAAAGAGAATGATCCGTTCTATAAAAAGAATGGTGCCATCTTATCATTAAATTCAATTACACCAAACGATGCCGGTAATTATGTTTGTTCGGCAACAACAACTATCAAACCATCGGGCGCTATGACCGGTATTGAAAAGACAAGCAATGCAACTGTCAAAATTCAAATTAAACATAAACCAGGAAAAGCAGAAATCTATCCAACCAATCCGGTTGCTGTGGCTGGTAAATCATTTACATTAAGTTGTGGCGCCAGTCCACCTGGTTATCCAATTCCTGAATATCGTTGGTGGAAAGAAGGCCAAGAACAACAAGAACTGGGTAGCCGTCCAAACTATACATTTATTGCCGTACATGTTAGCCATGAAGGTCGATATTTTTGTCAGCCATTCAATTCGATCGGTAAAGGTATGATCGGTTCGGTTTATCTTTCGGTGAACGAACCGGCACAGATGACAATCTCGATGAAACCACAATTCATTGTGAAAGAAGGTGCTACGAATTTTAAATTAACATGTATTGGTCGTGGTAAACCTCGTCCTAATGTAATATGGACACATAATGATGTGGAAATCAATCCAGATCATAGTGAATTTCGTATCGAAAACAAAGAACAAAATGAAGATGCTGATGTTAAAACCGTACAAACAACATTACATTTTGAAGCAATGGCTCGAAAAGGAGCCAATACATTAACGGCTAATGATCGTGGCAATTTATGCTTGCCATTTTAACAATGGTATTGGTGAACCAGTCAAATCTGAAACGGTATTACGTGTGGAACATACACCAGTATTACGTCATACGTATAATCGTGTTGCATTCGATGTTGGTGAAACTGCCGTATTACAATGTAAAATGTCTGCATATCCTATGCCTAAATTTGAATGGTTTTTTAGTGGAAAAATGTTGGATAATTATTTTAATGAACGTTATCAAACAAATAGTACAGAATTACCGGATGATATTCATGTTGGATCATTATCGATTCGTAATACGAAAGAATCCGATTATGGTGATTATACATGTCGAGCATATAATTCTGTCGGTGATGATGATGAACGTACAATCATTAAATTGGTAAAAAAATCAGCACCAGAAACACCGATTCAATTAGAAGTTTTGGAAGTTGTAGCCGATTCTGTTACACTGAGATGGTTAGAAGGTTTTAATGGTGGATTCGCGAATACAGAATTTGTTGTCAACTATGTTGATGGTGAACGAAGTCGAAATGAATCATGTCGATCATTGAATCCATGTAAAATTACATCACTTGAATCAAGACATGAATATCAATTTCGTGTATTGGCTGTCAATCCTAGAGGATATAGCCACTATTCTGATCCATTAAAAGTGGTGACTAAAGTAAATCTGAAAGATATGCCCAGTGCTTATGATTCATCATATGATCGTGAACGTAATATATTGGTATTCCGTGTCGATCCGAATGATGTTAGTCTACGTTTAGTGGCTAAAATTGAAGTTCGAAGCGAAAATAAAGATCAATGGACACCGTTAACCAAAGTCCAAGTATTGTCTGATTTAGAGAATGTTTATCTTAAATCAACATCGGATCCAATCACCGACATACGTGTAATACTTTGTTTACAAAGCAATGAATCATGGTGTGGCTATGAACATCTTGTCAAAATGGATTCATCGTTTACTCGCGAAACAAAAACATCATCTACTGATCATTTATTCGGTGTGATTATCGTTTCAACAATCTGTGCTGTTGTAGCATTTTTTATTATATTATGTTGTTGTTGGAAGAAAAGAGAAAAATCCGAAAAGAAAGATTTTGAATCTGATACGTCAACTGAACGACAATCAACAAAACAAATGGCTCAAAATTTTTTCAGTTCACATGATAACAAAGGTTTGTTTTTTTTTTTTTTGAAAAACCTGTAAAATTGTTATTTATTTTTTTCATTTCAATCACTGATTGTATTAGCAGGTTTAATGTCTGATATGGATAATGCTAATCTTAGTAAATTATCATCAGGAATATATGGTTCAACATATAATAATCATCATCCACATCCACATCAACATCATCATCATAATCATAATCATAATCATCAATCACAAAATTATTATCTTACTGGTGATGGACCAAATAGTGATCCAAGTCCAAATGGTAGTAATGAAACTGGCCAAACTGAATTTTGGAATTCAATGAAATCCAATATGATGCATGAAACGGTTACAGATTCAGATATGAATAATTATAATGGTGGTGCTGGTGGTGGTGGCTATAATAATTTGATGAATAATCATCATCATCAATTGATTGATCCAGCCACTGCATATATTAATTCATATTCATCTTATTATCAATCACCTGGTTATCAACAAATGGATGATGTTGATGGTAGAATGGGCCATAATAAAATGAGTAAGTTTTTTTTTATTGTTCATCAATTTTACTATATTGAATTAATAATTTTTTTTTACCCTTTTACTATATAGATATGCCAACCTATTATGATGAAATGAGCATACAACATGCAAATATTGGACAAACACCATATGGTGGTGGATCAATGATAATGGATACAATGTCCACACAAGATAATATTCTTAATGGTCATAATAATCATCTGAATTCTGGTGGTGGCGGTGGTGGTGGTTGTCCTGATGGTGGTGGTCATTTATCCTATGATGATGAAATGGATTATTCATCACAAAGGTCTCGAGTCATGAATGAAATTATTGTTTAACCAAAACCTCTATACCAAATTCAGAAAAATGAATCATCGATTTTTTTTTCGCCGCTCATTACACGCACACAATCACACATCAGACATACTAACATACATTCGTATGACACAATGACAAAACAAGACATCTTCATCATCATCATCATTATTGCTCAAGATAAAAAAAAATGACCATCAAATCTTTTTTCAAAGAAACGATTATCATCAATCGGTCATTTCAGTCATGTGAATATAACCTAGTTGACCGACCTGTTGATTGAATCATATTTCGATGTTGATGATGATGATGATGATGATAGATGACCACACACACACACACTACGACCACTTTTAAAGTTGCTTATTTTTTTCTTTTATTTTTTTTCTTGTTTGTTGATATGATCACCCACTATCCTTTGTTGGTTGTCAATTTCATTTCCTGTTGTAAATAATTTTTTCAACCATTTTTTTTAATACGGTCATCATCATCATCATCATTTCATGTTACCACAATCAAATCCTTCACCACCACCACCACCCCCACCCCCATCAATCATCAAAATGACATTTTTTTTGTACAGAATTATCATTATTTATCAGATTATTTTTCTTCTTGTTTATCATCTCGCAAACATTCACGACAACAACAACAACAATCACACACATTGACATCAAGCAATTTTTTATTTCATTCATTCAATTCAATTCAATTCATAAATCTAAATTGAATGAATGAATATAGCGACAAATTATCAATTTGAAATTTTATTCGTGTATCATTATCATCATCTTTTTGTTGTTGTTGTTGTTGTTGTTGTTGGACAAAATGATGATGATAATGATGACGATGATAATGATCAAAACGGAACAATATGGATAACGAAAAAAAAACGATCTCAAATTTTACAATTCAATTATTCAAATTTTATTTTATTTTTTTTTTTTTCTTTTCGGTTTATTCGTGCCTTATTTGACCATATTATTATTATTATCATCATTTGATTTACGACTTACATGCTGCAAATCATTGTCCTTTTTGGCTGCTGCTGCTGCTCTATGTACAGATACAGAAGATAATGAAAAAAATGAATTCAAAACATGAATTGATAACATCATCATTTTTTTTTTTTGCTTTATTTTTCTTTTATTATATTTTATTCGTGAATGAATTTTTCTAGTTTGTATAATAACAATAAAAAATAAAAAAAATATTTTATTATTATAACTAAAAGTTTATTTGACAACTAATAAATTGTTCATAAGTAGGGTATATATATAATGTATTCGTTGATTTCAGCTGTTTTGTTGTTGTTGTTGTTGTTGTTGTTGTTTAGCTGAAAAAATATACAGAATCCATTACTGAATTCAATTCAAATTCTCCTTTCGGTATACGACGATCAACCACCTGATTGATTAGTTCATCATATTCGGCCGAAAATCTTTTATGATTCTTATCATAAAGTTCTAATTTTTTTCGTAAAAATCGTGCCAAATTATCCAATATTGGTTCACTATGTAATGCAACAAATTGTTTTCGACAAAAATAGTTCATCTGATCAATTTCTGATGCATGTGTCCAATAACAATCATGTACGGATGAAAATGTCATTCCATGACGATGACATTCTAATGATGTTAACATCATATGACTTGAATCTAATGAATGAATAAAATTGGCAGGAAAAGCATTCTTTTGTTTCATTACATTCGGTATGAGTATGGTTGGTGTATTTTTCTATATGGGAAAAAATCCATAATTAGAAATGAATAAACTACAACAACAACAACAAAAAACATACCCGTCGATTTTTGTAATATGATTGAATGACTGGAAAGCCAAGTGGAGTGATCCATTCAACAGTGGAATTATAATCAGTTGAAATAATTTGTGCACAATCGGTAAGCCATTCCTGAATGATTCGTGTCTGTGTAAACATTTTTCGTATGGAGAATAATATTTTTTCCGAAATATATACCGATGCCGTGACTTTATGTGATTCAGGAAAATGTGAATCTTCTTTCAATCGTTTAAGTACTTGTAATTTGGCCCCATATTTTGTTACACCATATACATAGGTCATCACAGTTTGTTTGACTATTTTACGTGTTATAAAACCTTTAACAATATTGGCAATTTCAACACCATTAGCAGAATCTTTTTCAATTTCAGCTTCGACTAATGCTGCAACATCACTATAGACATCTTGTGGATATTCACTTGGACTTAAATTGACAGATTTGGCACCAAGAATATCACGTCCAAGTGCTGCATAATGTTGTAGACCATTACATGAACCATCCTGATGGATTGGCATATGACTAACATAGGCATGTGGATCCGGACTACGTAATGCATTGGTCAATTCAATACAACATGCAAGTGTTTGCCATTTTTCATCACTTGACATCCACCATTTTTGACCATTCAATGGATTATCAGCACTATCCATTATTAGATCGATAATTTCATCAGCATATTCAAGTCGTTCTTTTACTGAACATCTTTTTTTCAAACCAGTCAAATTAATTAGATGAATTTTGAGCCATTGTAAACCTTTTTCACCTAATGGTTTTCCTTTGCCAAACAATAACAAAGCTCGAGATAAATCATTACCAAGATGATTGAAATTCGGTGGAATTGGATATACACGGCTACGGAAATCCGTATTGATGGGAAACCAAAAATATTTATTACGTAACTAAATAAAAGAAAAAAAACAGATATTGAATTCAAATCAAAAAAGAAATATCCAAAAACTTACAGAATTTCCAATGGATAATTTGTAAAGACAATCCACCCAAAGGCTATACATTTCAGCCTGTTCTTTTTTCTGCAATTTACGTTTATAATAGATTACAGCACGTTCTTTGCGTGACATTTCACATGATGATCGTGGTAATGGACCAAAATATGATAATGATACCGGTATATCAAGATCAATATTACCATTGTTTTTAAATACATCGATAGCAACATCAAGAATACGATCATTAATTTTCCATGGACATAATGACAATGCATTCAATGAATCAAAAGTTGGATACAATTGTTGAATCGGTGTTCGTTTTAGATGATGTTTTGGATAATACAATGGAAGACGAACAAGAAAATTATGAACAAGAAGATTACCACCAAAATTTACATTAATCCATGGTACAGGTGGACATAACATTGGTAAACGTTCCGATTCAAAATAGATATCCGAACCAGCACCTTCATAGATTTTTATCAACAATGGATTTACACGTACTTCTTTTTTTGTTTTGACTGTTTCATGTTTTTTATAGAAAAACGAAATCACCGGTTGAATAGAATATGGCTGCAATTCATCCATATTTAAAATATCTGAATTGAATTTTGCTTCCGATGTTATAATTTCATATAAATCTTTACCAATTTCTTTCAATACATTATTTGGCCAATATTTTGTTTCATCAAAATGATAATGATAACCATTTTCGATTAAATGTTGCCAATATTCTCTTGGATTATATTGACAAATCATTTCTGGATCCAATGTATATTTTACATATTGTTTATAACATTCTTTAAAATCATCTATAGTTCCATCAATCATATTTGAACGTAATAGATATTGTTGCATTACTTTTCTGCCTAATGCTTCGAATAATTGACCAGAAAATGGTGAATAATGTTCACTGAATGAGGCACATTTTCGTATTTCTTCCAACATTACATTTACATAGATTTCTGGTTCCAATATGGTCATATAATGAATGAATGGAATTCCACTCAAACGTTTATGTTTTTGTTTTAAATTTTTAAGATAATTTTGATATGAAATCAATAACGATTGTTGCCAATCATTTTCAAGTTTTGTTATTAATTCTTTATAAAATGTTTCCGATTTTGATTGATCTGAATCATGGAATCGTGCTTCGATTGGTTCCACTTTGACCATTGAATTCATTTCAATATTGAATTGTTGTTCCACATATTCATCCAATCGTGATAGATCAATACCTTCGAATGGATCATAATATTTTTGTTCAGTTTGTAATAATTTTTCGACTAGTTGATTATTGTATCGTCTGGGATGATAGAATTTATGGAATTTTTGATGGCCACCATTTTCCATTAAAAATGTACGAATCATTTTCACTTCTTTGGAATTTAAAATCGGTCTTTGAAGTAGATAATCAGGATTTAGACCATTTCGTTTCATATCTTCAATTATAAAATTCAATGCATCTTGATTGTCAACATTATTGATTTGTTTACATAATGCTAACAAATAACATTCATATGAATGAATACTTGGTTTCAATTTTAATTTATCACTAATAAATGTAATTAAATCATGAACATTATCAGCACTACCTTTACGTGCCATTCCTTTGATCAATAATTCACAACAGGTAGCAACATCAGTGGATGATAATGAATTGGAAAATTTATCAACAAATTCCATTAGAAATGAATGTACTTCCGATAATTGATCATTATAAAGACAAACATGAATGAAGCTAAGTAAATTTTTCTTTGTCATAAATGCATCTTCATAGATTTCATAATCTTCATCCATATCACGCCAATTATAGGCACCATTTTCAATAAGATTATCTACATTATTTAAACCTAATTCTTCAAATATATCAATCGATTTATTCACATCATCATCAACATAATTATTATTCATCTTGGCCAAATTATCACAGCTTCGAATAGCAATTGTTTCCATGGCGATCGAATTCTTTTTATCATCATTCTTCGTCTTGTTGTTGTTGTTGTTGAATTTCTTTTCAATTACATTTTTCAATGTATCAGATTTTTTCACTTTTGTTTTTTTATTTTTTTGATTATATTTTTGATTCTGTATATCATCCAATAGTTTTAAAACACGAAGATTCGTTCGACTTTGTGATGATGATTGCACTGTACGATTTATAAGGTGGCCATTTTGAAGAATTTGTTTGGCAATATGATTCGAATGTTGAACATTTATGAATTTTGCAAACATTTTTTTATGTCACATTTTTCTCTGTCCAGGATAAACCATAAATCACAAACCAGCATGGAAATTTTGTGTGTGTGTTACATAAACACAAACAACCTTCATATGATTTCTTTGCATGAGAAACTTTTCGCACATTTTCATTCATAATTTGATTATTATTCGAAAATAGTTTTCGGAAACAATACTTTATTTGGTAGAAAAAAAAATCATCGTAAACTTTGACGAGTATATTCGAGGTTATTCTCGATATTTCTTGAATATTCTGTGATATAATTAAAAAAAATTTTTTTTTATTGCTCAAATTATTTTTTTTATTATTATTATTACTTTGACCCGAATGTTAACAAACCGGATATTATGTTGTTCGAGATTATTTTTTCAATCTAATGTATTGATTTTTTGTACTCGACAACGATCATTTTCAACCATATTATCATGGAATCGAATATCTAAAAATAATCGCTTTAAAATTATACAAAATAGATTGATTCGATACGAAAATAAATCCTATTTATTATTGCCAAAATGTTCGATCCATACGACACCAAGACGATACAATCCGATCATATCGGTGATAGCACGACAAGTGTTGAAAGTTGCCACAATGTTTACAGCCAGGTAAGAAAAAAAAATCGAATTTTTTCTCCGCCACATCATTGATTGGATCCATTTTTTTTTAATTTTCAGAGCAATACGAAAATGGTATCAAAATCTACCGAAAGAAAGAAGGAAAATTGTATTCGCATGGTTGGCTAAACATAAATTAAAATTCCTATCACTATTCATTTTGTTATCGTTGTCATTATTGTACTATTATGAATCCCATCTACAGGAAACACCCATTACTCAACGAAAACGTTTCATTGCATTCACACCTGAACAATTTCGTCTATTGAATCGTATTGAATTGGAAACAAAATTGAATGAATTTTCCAATCGTCTATTACCTGGTGATCATTCAACAACAAGACGTGTAGCAAAAGTTGTCAAACAACTAATTGAAGCCAATCGTGATATCAAACATATTGATGAACATGATTGGACCGTATCGGTTATTGATGATCCAAAAATAATGAATGCATTTGTATTACCATCGGGTAATATATTCGTTTTTAGTGGTCTATTATCATTCTGTGATAATGATCATCAATTGGGTATTATTCTGGCTCATGAAATATCGCATGCAATTCTAGCACATGGAATTGAATTAGCTAGCCATGCACATATTGTTGATCTTTTATTCATTGGTCTATTAGGATTTGTGTGGATGTTTTTTCCAACTGATACTATTGCTGCAATTGGATCATTCATATCAAAATTGGTGATGAATATAATGATGGAAACACCATATAGTAAAATGTTGGAAACGGAAGCCGATGAAGTAGGAATAAATTTAGCTGCAAAATCTTGTTTCGATATACGTGAAGCAAGTGTATTCTGGTCAAAAATGGCCTTTATGGAACAATCATCAATGATGGAAATGTTTGGTCAACCAGAATCACCAGTTAATCTGGATTTCTTGAATACACATCCATCACATAAGGAACGATCAAAAAATCTAGATAGATTAGTTGATGATGCCATAATATGTCGTTCAAAAAGTGGTTGTCCACCGTTACCAAATATGGATCCAAGAATTCGTGCCAGAATTTCTGATCAACAAAAAATGAACGAAACATTTCGTAAAGAACTACAAGGAATATTTCATATTAAAGATTTAGAATAGACATCCAACAACAACAACAACAACAAAAACCTATCCTTGAATTGATTATTGATTAATTAATTAATTTTGATTTTTGATAATTAAAAAAATTTTATTTTTCCTGATATTCGATTGATGACTTACGTGTACAATACAAAAATTTCAATATTACAGCCATTTTACATCATTTAATGACAGCGCCATCGCACATACTGCTAGTGCGTGTACTTTTTTTTTTTTTTTTTTTTTTTTTTGAATCTAGCCAATCAAAAAATGCCACATACATTCAATAGCCAATCAAAATGAGACACGGCAGTATTTGTTGCTTATATAAATAGCTTTGCCTCATGTATTCACACAATCATTCAATTCAATTTTTTTTTATTTGTAATTCGTATGTTTCAAATATCGTTTAAAAAAATTTCAAGTTTCAATTTTTTGGCCACGAAATTTGTTATAATCATCATCAAAATCGACTGAAATTTTTTGATTCTTTTTCTTTTTGAACTTTTTTTTTTAAATTTCATCCGATATTACATCTCTCTGTGAATATTCTGTTTTCTGTTTGTTTGTTTGTTTTTTTTTTGATGAATATGATTAATATGAGAAATATACGTCATCCAATGGCCAATATATTTTTGTTGTATTTGGCCATTACTTTTGTCTGTAATGTTTTGGCCAAAGATGATAAACAAGATGTTGGTACAGTTATTGGTATTGATTTAGGTAAGTTTTGAATGGTGAAATGTTTGATTTTTTTTTGTTTCCAATGATAAATAATGATGATCCAATTATTAATGTAGGTACAACATATTCATGTGTGGGTGTATTTAAAAATGGCCGAGTGGAAATCATTCCAAATGATCAGGGTAATCGTATCACACCATCATATGTGGCATTCACAGCTGAAGGTGAACGTTTAATTGGTGATGCGGCTAAAAATCAATTGACCAGTAATCCAGAGAACACTGTGTTCGATGTTAAACGTTTGATTGGTCGTGAATGGGGTGATTCAACTGTACAATCTGATATTAAATTTTTCCCATTCAAAGGTGAGTTGAATGCTATAAAAGGAAATGTAATGCTGACGTGTCTTTTATCGTTGTTGTTTGTAGTGGTTGAAAAGAATGCCAAACCTCATATTAAAGTTGAAACTGGATCTGGGACAAAAGTTTTTGCACCGGAAGAAATCAGTGCAATGGTATTGACTAAAATGAAGGAAACGGCTGAAGCATATCTGGGCAAGAAGGTCACACATGCAGTCGTTACAGTTCCAGCCTATTTCAATGATGCTCAACGTCAAGCCACCAAAGATGCCGGTACGATTGCTGGATTGAATGTAATGCGAATCATCAACGAGCCTACTGCCGCTGCCATTGCTTACGGTTTGGACAAAAAGGAAGGTGAAAAAAATATCCTTGTGTTCGATCTTGGTGGTGGTACTTTTGATGTATCTTTGCTCACCATCGATAATGGCGTGTTCGAAGTAGTCGCTACAAATGGTGATACTCATCTTGGTGGTGAAGATTTCGATCAACGAGTAATGGAACATTTCATCAAATTGTACAAGAAAAAGACCGGCAAAGATATTCGAAGTGATAACCGAGCAGTCCAGAAATTGAGACGTGAAGTTGAAAAAGCCAAACGTACACTCAGTGGTGCCCATCAAGCTCGAATTGAAATCGAATCAATGTTTGAAGGTGAAGACTTTAGTGAAGTTCTTACTCGTGCCAAGTTTGAAGAATTGAACATGGATTTGTTCCGATCAACATTGAAACCTGTACAAAAGGTATTGGAAGATTCAGATTTGCAAAAGAAAGATATCGATGAAATCGTATTGGTTGGCGGTTCGACTCGAATTCCGAAAATCCAACAATTAGTCAAAGAATTCTTCAATGGAAAAGAACCAACCCGTGGCATTAATCCCGATGAAGCTGTAGCTTATGGCGCTGCCGTCCAAGCTGGTGTGTTGTCTGGTGAAGAAAACACTGGTGAATTGGTATTGTTGGATGTTAATCCATTGACCATGGGTATCGAAACTGTTGGTGGTGTCATGACTAAATTGATTCCAAGAAACACTGTGATTCCAACCAAAAAATCGCAAATTTTCTCGACTGCCTCAGATAATCAACATACTGTCACGATCCAAGTATACGAAGGTGAACGACCAATGACCAAAGATAACCATTTGTTGGGCAAATTTGATTTGACTGGTATTCCCCCGGCTCCTCGTGGTGTTCCACAAATCGAAGTCACGTTCGAAATCGATGTAAATGGTATTCTCAAAGTGACGGCCGAAGATAAAGGAACTGGTAACAAGGAAAAAATTACCATCACCAACGATCACAATCGATTAACACCGGAAGATATTGAACGAATGATCAAAGAGGCAGAAAAATTTTCCGATGAAGACAAAAAGATCAAAGAACGTGTTGAAGCTAAAAATGAATTGGAATCATATGCATATTCATTGAAAAACCAAATGGGTGATAAAGAAAAATTGGGTGGAAAACTGAATGATGATGATAAATCAACAATGGAAAAAGCTATTGATGAAGCAATCAAATGGTTAGATTCGAATAGTGAAGCTGATGTTGAAGAATTTAAAGCACAGAAAAAACAATTGGAAGATACTGTACAACCGATTATTGCTAAATTATATGCAAGCAGCGGTGGTGGTGATGCTGCTGGTGGTGAAGAACCAAGACCGGATGCAAGCGATAAAGATGAACTTTAAACTTTCTTGGTGCCCATATTAGATGTGTTGTAAATATTTTTTTATTGTATTTGTATAAAACAATTTCTACCATTAAATGATGATGATGATGATAATTATTATTATTATAATTGTTTAATTTTAATTTATTATAATTCAGATTAAAATTTCTTAAAAATAAATTCCAAATAAACCAAACGTAGATAAATTTTGTAACAATCTTTATGAATGGTAATGAATCGAACATGTGTGTGATAATAATTAAATGTGATTCATGTGCATATTTTTTTTTTCATAATCATCATATGGCATGAATTCATTGAATTTGATTTGAAAATTTTTCAAAAAATTTAAAAATGCTGACCAAACTGTCATCGATTCGTTATTATACGAATATATTGGGAAAATCACGATCATCATTTTCATTATCCGATACGTTTAATATAAGATCATATTCAAAAATTATTTCAATTGAACAATGTAATCTTGTTGCATCATTATCAACATTATCATCATCATCATCACCGCTTTCACCGATAAATGGTAACCTAATAAATCGTTATCGATTTTTGTCATCATCATCATCATCATCATCGAATTTTAATAATAATAATAATAAAGATTCACATCCACAACAACAACAGCAGCAGCAGCAACAACAATCACAAGGTGATGAAGAAGCAGAAAAAGAAAAACAACGTAAACGACAGAAAAAATTCACTAAATATACATTACTTGGAATGTTGATCACATTTTCTGGTTCAGCATTATATGCATTCTTTACATGGGGTGCACCAAAACGTGATGAAGATGGTAATGTTATTCCAGATGAATTTAGTGAATTACCGTTTGTTATACAATATGCATCAAGAGCATGGAATACATTGACACATTATGAAAAGATTATTAAAGAACCATCACGGGAATTATTATTGCCACCACCATTACCGCATCCATATTATCAGCCGCCATATACATTGGTACTAGAAATGACCGGTGTTCTTGTGAATCCAGAATGGACATATAAAACAGGATGGCGTTTTAAAAAACGACCTATGGTCGATTATTTTCTACATAAATTGGCTACATCAACTAATTTTGAGATTGTCATCTATACCCATGAACAGGGTATGACTGCATTTCCATTATTGAATAGTTTGGATCCAAATGGTTATATTATGTATCGATTATTTCGTGATTCTACCCGTTATGAAGATGGTATACATATAAAAGATTTAAATCGTTTAAATCGTGATCTAAAAAAAGTCATCCATATCGATTGGGATTCGAAAACATGTCAATTGAATCGTGATAATTGTTTAACATTACCGAAATGGAAAGGAAAAACAGATGATCGTACATTATATGATCTGGCAGATTTTTTAATGGCCATAGCTAATGAAAAAGTGGATGATGTACGTGATGTAATACGTTATTATACACAATTCGATAATCCATTGGAAGTGTTTCGTGAAAATCAACGTAAACTAGCCGAACAGGAAAAAGAGAAAGAAGCACAAAAACAACAGAATGCACCTGTTTATAAATCATTTTTGATGAATGTATTAAAATCAAAATGATCATCAAAAACAATCATCAATTTGTAATGCAAAAGAAAATAATAAATAAATAAAATTCATGCAATTTTTTTTTTCAAAAAGTTTTTCTATACAGTATATTTAATGAATTTGCATAATAATAATAATGATAATGGTAAAAAACTGAAGTAAAATTTTTTTTTTGATTTATAATAATTTCTCTGGTGATCAAAATTGATTCATTCGTCGTCGTCATCATCATCATCATCACCAATGTTCAATGAATTCATCTGATTACCAATGATAGCATCGACATTACCATTTAATTTCGGTTCATTTACATCATGATCATCATCATCAATAAAATCATTACATTGTAACATTTCTTCAATTAGATTACGTTCTTGGCTGGCAATGGTGGCATAATGACAAGCTGAAATTGTTTGTTTTTTTTGATTAAAATATTTTTCCGTTTTCAATGCATTTTGATAATTTGGAAATAAATTCGGATATTCAATTGGATCGGCTAATGCTTGTACGGATCGATCATTTTTTACTTTTGGATTATCTTTCCAAAGTTTAAGCACACGTGATACTTGTGATGGAACATATGAACGTGCAAAAAATGCAGCTTCTGGTAATCGATTCGTTTCAATCAATATTTCCAATGCTTTTTGTACATCGCCCAATATAAATGAACATAAAAAGGCAACATTATGTACACTATTTTCATGTGACATTTCATTTAGTTTTTAACCATTGAAACATTGCCCGATGATGTGGCTAACAATAACAATGCCGAATAATCCTGTGCATTACTGAAACATTGTTGAGCTAATTCAAATTCACATAATGATGTTGCCAATTTGGCCAATTGTTTCCATTTCATATCATTTTGTGCTTCGACAGCTAATTCATAAGCAATTTTTGTATCTTTCAATTGTAATGCTAAATCGAATCGATGTTCAGGATCAGTGGATACGGCCAATGCCTGTCCTTTATAGCCTTGTTTTTCTAGAAAATGTGCTACACGTGTACGTTGTTCTTTCGGTATTGATGGTAGAATTTTATCTGCAGTTTCAAAATCATCTCGCATTACGGCCGTTTGATATTCCAATACCGGTAATAATAAACAATACGAAACTACATTCAGCTCTTTATCGCCCAAATAAAGACGATTTTCACGTGAAATATAGCCGAGTAAATACATTGGTCTAATGTGTGTATTTGGGGGTGGTAAAGAAAAATGAAAATTTAACAAAAATCATTAAAATTGTATCCAACATACCTGTCCATATGAGCAATGGTAACGATTTCACCGCCGACAAAATAATTCAATCGATTCACATTATTCGTATAGATAAAACAATCACCAACCCATAGTCCGGTTTTAACAGCCTCTGAAATATCACCAATAACATCGAATGCATCTTCAATACCATCTTCGGTAATTGTATCGGATTTTTTTTCACGAGCTGTTACCACAGCATCAGCATTATAATGTAAAATATAAAATGAATCCTCTGAACATATGGCCACCAATTCACCATTTTCAGACCAATAAACATTTTTCGGTTGAATTTCAATACGTCTAATTAATTCCAATGAATCCCATTCATAAAACGATAGACCTAGTGGTGATTTTATGCCAAGCATAAATCCACCGAAAATTCCATCAGCACTATAGTCCGGTTTAAATGATTGTCGTTCTTTAAAGTTTTTAAATATTTTTATAGTCGAATTATTCTCACGAACAGCATATTCCGATGAATCCTGTGCCCAAACAAATTCCTGGGCAGAACCAAAACTTTTGTTTCGTAATGTCAATGCCGTATAGATAATGTATTCACCATCACCACATACAACAACAAAACGACCATTTGAATTATGTGAAATTGTTTGTGGATATATTTCACAACTGCCCATATCTTTAACACTTAAAGGAAGAATATTACCATCTTTAATCTCTTCCGAATCGGTTATTGTTCGAATATTTGCTTGTTGTAATTCGGAATGTTTTGCCCATACAATTTTACCCGAACTATCCATAGACATGGCTGGTTCTTCTCGGCCTAGTTTTATCACTAAACTACCGATATCATAACCAATGGCCACAGTATTCGAGCCTTTCAAACAGGAAATTGTCCATGCACGTTCTAGGCCATAGTTTAATGTATTCTCCAAACGATAAGTGTTTAAATGCCATACACGTACAGTACCATCTTCGGAACCACTCATAAAAATTGGTAACTCTGGATGAAATGAAACGGCAACAACATTTTGTATATGGCCATCCAATGTTTGAACACAAGTTTTTGTTTGATAATCCCAGATTTTCACCAAACGATCATCGGCACCAGAAATCAGATATGGTTTATCACTACTATGACAATAATCCACACAGTTGACACCTTTTTCATGGCCATCCAATGTAAAATTGGCTGAATTTGAACCCAATTGCCATACTTTGACCGTACGATCTAATGATGCACTAGCAAATGTATTATTATCTTTGGGATTGATAACAATCTGCATTACATAATGTGTATGGCCTTCGAACACCTGTGTACAGGCCCAATTTTTCTCCCAATTCCATAATTTGATGAGCATATCATCACTTGATGTCAATATATACGGTTGTGATGGATGTACGACAATCGAACGTATATAATCAGAATGAGCATCGAATGTATATACTTTTTCCAATGTATTATAATTATATACTCGTACTTGCATATCATCGGCACCGGTGACGATCCAATTTTTAGTTGGTATAAATTTCGAAGCACGTACCGGCACATCACAAATTTCAAATGATTTCAATAGCTGAGATGTTTCATAATTCCAAATATGAACCTGGCCACTGTATAGGCCACATAATAGCCATGGTTCAACTGGATGTAGATCTACACATTTTACACGATCCGAATGGGCCAATAATTTACGACGAACATCTAATTTTAATGGCTAATGAATAATTTGAATAGAGAATTTATTGCCATTTCATATAGTAAGATAAAAATTAAAATTATTATTTTAATTTCAATCAAAACTTACCATTTCAATAATGAATTCTGGTCAGTTAGAATCCGAATGAAAAAAAACCAATCCAAATCTGTTGACCAAATAAAATTCTGTATATCATCAACAACTGATGACAGTGTGTGTGTGTTTTGTGTGACGTGACGTGTTCAAAATGAATAGCCAAAAAAAATACGAAAGCCATTTCGACTCTTGCATATTGATATGATGAAAATAGTCGTCCATTTAATTCAAAGAACATGAATACAGATATTTTGACCAAAAAAAAAATCACAGATTTCCACAATCCAATCATTCATGAACTAAAGTAATGAAAGAATCCTTAGAAATATCCTTTATCGTGAATGTTCTTTTTTTTTGATTCAAAAAAATCAATTCTACATTCACTACAGAACATCAACATCAACAACAACAACAAAAAAGTTAAAAGTGAAAAAAAATGAAAATCTTATTTCAAACTATTCAATTTTTGGAAGAAAAAAAAAGAATTTGCACCCACAACAATTCGCGATTGAGCGACCGGATTCGTATACAATCGAATGAAATCAATCAATCACTGAACAAAGTGGAAAAAAAATAAGTTTCATTCATTCACTCACACATTCAATTTTCATTCTGTCATGGCTGTTTTTCAAATGTTTCACATTTCGATTACAAAAAAAAACAAATTCGCGAATGACCAAAAAATGACAGAATTTAAAACTGGAAATCATTTTTTCTATTTCCGTTTAAAAAAAAAAAAAAAATTTCCCAATCACCCAATGTTTGATTCTGATGAAATGTCATCATTGTGAACATTTTAAACAAATCTCGAATACACATAGAATTATTATCGATGAGTATATCGAAGAATTCTAAAATTAGTTTGCAAACAGCAAAAAAAAAAATTCTCGAAAATCGTTGAAATAAAACAATAAAATAAACAGAGAACGATATGTGCCAATGATGATGATGATGATGATCAATATTCAATTTTAATGATTTGTAATAACAACGAAAAAAAAGAAAATTTTCAATTTAAATCAACAACAACAACAACAACAAAAAACGCTCATCAGGAAAATTTTTTCTTGTTTTTTTTTTTCTTCATTTTCATTCATTCATTCATTCATTCATACACAACAAACGTGATAATGTGTCGTTTTGTTATCTTCATTGTTGTCGCCAACAACAACAACGACAACAACAGAGACAATTATCAAAATGAACGAAATTGATTCGATTCATATTGTTGTTATAGCCAATCGAATGACAATGATCAATGAATATGGTAATGATGATGTTGAAATGATGTGAATTTTTTTCTTCTTTTTTTTGGTTCAAAAACAGAAAACAGAAATTTAAAGAATAAAAATGATCAAAATCAAATTAGATCATCAAAGAATAATAATAACAATAATAATCATGTGATGATGATAATGAAATGTAATCAATTCATATTGTTTTTTGTTGTTGTTGTTGTTGATGATGATGGTTGACAATTGGAATTCTGTATTTTGTTGTTATTCGTTGACACACACACACACACACATTTATATTAAATTAATTGATCACTACATGAAATAAATGTCTATGTGTTGTTTTTTTGTGTGTGTGTGTGTGTCTGGAATATTCATTCATTATATTCTTGTGTATGTTCACTAATTAACTAATAATACTTTCTATCATCATTTATGTGTTTGTTCAAAGGTTTTGTTTTGTATGTGTGTGTGTGTTTGTGTGTGTATGGCATTAAAAACAGGAAATAGGATTGAAATAACATTGTTGATAACGTATCTGTCGTTTATGTTGACCGGAAAGCAATGCCTGATGGATCATCCAATTTGGTGGTAATTTTTTTCTTTCCAACATGTTGAATAATCTATTTAATATGATATGATTGGTACCATCAACATCTAGTTCATTGTTTACCATTGAGTCCTATTTTTTTATTTTTTTTTTGAATTTTTTTCGAATGTTGGTAGGGGGTTTCCATATAAAACGTACAAAATTAATCATTTTTCCATTATATTAAAGGATTAATTCTGGATTTAAAAGAATTCAATTCATAAAAATATTTACCATATTGGATCGTAATGATGTTGCAAATGGTGATGTATTTGATGGTGATGTTAATCTAGCCATTTGATCAATAATATCTGATTGATCAGATTGAAATTTTTCCGAACTGGCTGATGATTGTTGTTGTTGTTGTTGACCAATAATAGCTGCAGCATCAATCGATTGTAATTTGATTGATAAAATAATTGTTGATAATAGCCAAATGATTGTCATTGTCGATGTTATTGTCATGGTAATCTTTGTTGAATGTTGTTGTTGATTATTCATTGCCATTCTATTTGAATCATATGCAATGGAATGAATGAAAAAAAGATGAAGATAAAGAAGAAAAAAGAGGAAGAAAAAGTGAAGAGAGATAAATACAAAAAAAAATGTTTACGAAAATTCAATGTCATCAAATTGTTTTCTTTTTCATATTTATCGCTTGCTTATCATTCAATAAGATTTCATTTCTTCAAGCTTAACACACACACACACACATATAGCTTTGACCTTATCATTGAAATTGAAATTGAACATTGCGAGAGAAATCTATCTATCAGTTAATCTTCCTATGTGCTACAAGTAATTCATTTGAAAAACAAACAAAAACAAAACAGAATTAAGAAAAAATATATGCGAATGAAATGAAATCAATAAATCCATATTTAAGCTTTCCGCTTTTGTTTTCCTTAATTTATTATCGATTAAGGTTCAATTATTGAGAATTATTGGATATGAATGAATGAATTTGGCAATCTCACACACACACACTGATACCCTAAAAAAAAGTTGGCTTACCTGACTGGCTTTTTTTTTTTTTGGCGCTGTTGTTGTTTGTTCGAGATCTGTTGATGATTTTCAACGGGGAAAAATTTTTTTGAACGTTTTCGTTGTTGATGATGAATTCTGTTGTTGTTAATTCATGAAGAAGAAAGTTATTTTTTTTTTGATTTCCAATTTTTTTGAAAATATTCTCTATCTCTCTTACTCCCTATTCGATTCAGCTGTCGTTGTTGTTACAAGAGAGATTGATTTTCATCGAAATCGTATCGTATTGAATGGTTTTTTTCAATGATTTGATCATATAAAACATATGAACATCCGTTTATATACGACTGTTACAACAACAACAACGACGACGACGACGACGACAAAAATGGTAGAAAAAGAAAAAATTGGTCAAACTTGTAATTGTAATAACGAATATAGAGATTGTGAACGCATACACAAAAAACGCAATTGAGCATGTGTCGTCATGAATTTTTTTTTTTTTATATTCATCACACACACACACATTCATTTATTCCGATAACAAAGAAAAAAAACCATTTCAATTTGCACATAAATATGCATCATCTGTAATTGTGACAAAATTTCATTTCATTTCATATCATTCTATCTCGAATATTCTTATTTCCATTTGGTCATTTTTTATATTCTGAAAAATCTTTTCTCTCTCTCTCTCTCTCTCCATCTTCAGCGTTCTTCAACAACAGTATAAGACATGAATGGCCATTTGTTTGAGATTTCATAAGAAAAAAAAAGATAAATTATCCATTTTAGTGGAAAACAGGAAAAAAAAATTCACGTCCATTTTTTTTTCGCCGAAAAAAACGTCATTTGTGAATAATGACGGATGTTGTCATTCATTGTAACTATTTTGCATTTTTTTTCATTATTATTATTATTACACAAATCAATCAAAACAGTCAAATTTGAATTCTAAATTTAAATTTTAAAAACATGCCAACCATTGTGATGTTAATGGTTGATTGAACTAGAATCTAGTTACTATAGAGAATAAAATGTCATATGGCGAAAAAAAAACTGATGAAATAATGTGAAATGACCAAAAAAATGGATCAATTTATCATGTGTATGTGTGTGTGACAATCCAACAAAAAAGAAGATAATTGCCTAGAGAAATGTAAAGAAAAAAAAGATGTCCACAAATAATAATCATCATCATCATCATCAAACACACACACAGTGAGAGAGAAATCTTAAAATTTCAACTACGCACACACACAGACAAACATTTCCTTCCTAAAAACATTATCACACAATACACTGTTATAAAGATAACCGAATTTTTTTTTTGGTTCTATGAAAACAACAACAACAACAACAACAACAACAAAAAATATACATCACACATTGTTACGTCCTCATCACTTGTCACAGTCATTCAGTCAGTCAGTCATTTTGTGTACACACTAGAAAATCATTATTATTATCTTTTGCTTTCTATTTGGTTAATTTTTTTGTTGTTGTTGTCCACTTATTTGTCCATCAAAATGAAATAACTACAATGGACTACTAGATAGAACATCCAACAACAACAACAACAACAACAACAACTGGGCAAATAATAAAGAGAGAGGAAAAAAAATCAAATTAGTTTCCGATTCTAGGCTATAGCTTAATTCTCTAGAATCGTCTTGTGTGTGGATAAAAACACATTATCATCATCATCATCATCATCATCATCAACTATGACATTATATCAACAACAATAATTTTAACTGGATTATCATCATCATCGACATTATTTTGTTGTTGTTGTTGTTCACTCTGTGTGTGCGAGTGTGTCTTATGATTATGGCCATTTGCTGAAAACAAAACAAAAAAAAAAAAGAGAATGAGAATGAGAAAAATTCTGTACAATAATGTGTAACAATTATTTAATTTAATTTTTTTTTTTTTTGGCATTTTTTTTATATTCATTTAATTTTATTATCATCATTATTGATTGTTCCGGTGGTGATAGTGGTGGTGGTCATAGTCTTTGTCGTTATCATTTCAACAACAATATCGATATTCGACCATCGAATCAAACGATACAATATTGTTAAATGTACTAGATGTAATATGATACTACTCCATATGGTACTTGGATATATATTCCATACTAATTCGATTAGGCCCAGCATGCAAATGCTAAATTTGTATGTAAATTACAAGAAAAAAAAGAAGATGAAAAAGAAAGAAAGAAAAACATTCCAATTACAATCAAATCAAATCAAATCGATATATATATAAAGAGTGAATCAAAAACAGCGAATTATTCTTTTCTTTTTTTGCATTCATTAATTAATTGATTGATTAATTTAATTCGTGTATTGAATTGATTCTATTCTATTCGATTCTCTTGTGTGTGTGTGTGTGTGTGTGTGTGGTGTAAATTTTCTCAACTTACTTGGTCATTGAATGACTAGATCCATTTGATGTTGTCCATAAAAGAAATGGTAATGAATGATAATACCAAATGTAAAATTGATAATGTAATGAACGTGCAAATACGATACCAATGAAATTCGAAATAAACATTGTCATTAGAATGTCTGTGTGTGTGTGTATATATGTCGTTTAAAATGAACAACAATAATAACAAAGAAAAAAAAGTCATGAATATAATAAAAAAGATAAAGAAAAAGTTTGTTTTTTTTTTCTGTTTTACTCACGTTGTCCAAATTTTTGTTTTGTTCCATTATCCGGATGTTGATCATGATGATGAAAGTTTTGACGCTGTTTTTGTTGTTGTTGTTGTTGTTGTTGTTGTTGTTGTTCATTCATTTCATTGTTATCAAAGTTATTTTTATTGAATGAAAAAATTTTTTTTTTAATCAAATTCATCCATCGTTGATGAAATATGATGAACAAAATGGTTATATGTAATATAAGTAAAATCGAATGAAATCCTTTGTGAATGAAAATCTGTTCCGACATGAAACGATAGTTGACAGTCCATTTATGTAGAAATATCCGACCTAAATTGAATGAATTTTTTATATAGGAAATTGGATATGTCACAATGAATGGAACGGCTAATATGATCTGATCATATCGTGTGTGTGTGTGTGTGTGAAAAGAAAAACAAAAATTCAAAGGAAAATTTTGTTTAAAACAAAAAAAAAATTCGTTATCATTCTAGTTTGATTCTACCTGAACCAATGCACAGATCATCAGATTTTTTATGACATTCCATGTGTTTAGATATTCATTGTATAATAGAAATAAACCGGGAGCAAAAAGTAAAATGTTCATTTTGATCGATACGGCTAAACTAAATAGTTTTTTTTCGATGGAAAAGAGGAAATTTGGTTTTTTTTTGGATTCAGGTAATTAAAAAAAAGCAAACAAAAAACCATTATTCATCATGATCATTATTTAAATGGAAAAAAAAAAACATACGAATACAGTATCGATCCACGTATCCATTTATGGCCACTAGTGAATGATAATAATGATAGATATAGTAATAATATGGCCACAGTATCATTGAATAATCGTAAAACATATATTGAATGTACACGATATGATGTAAGACACATGAATAACAATACATATGGTGGTGCCATTGAATATTGGCGATATAATCGAAATACAATGAATAATGTGATCAAATATAATGATGCAAATATATATTGTGCACGATAAATATTATGGCCATAATCAGTTAGCCAATATAATAATGTATAAACATAAATATGGCCAGCCGGATAAACAATTGGTCCGGTAGCACCAGTTATTTGTGAATAATCACGTGTACCATTTAGAAAACATTCAACTTGTTGCATATATGTTGACCAATCAATTTCAGTATCTGTAATGAAAAAAAGGGTAAATTATAAAATGATAATTGTGTAGAGTAATGTAATAAAAAAGATCATCATCTTACATCGAACTCTTTGAATGATGATTACATTTAAAAAAATTTCAAACAATAAAAGTAACAATGAAACAATTGGATAACATTGTTGTTCATGAAAAATTTTAAATGTAAAAATTTTTTTCTGAATAAAATCCTGTAATTCATTGGCCAAATGTTTTATATTCGAAATGAATGATTGTCCCATCATCATCATCATATGATTATTATTGTTATGACGATTTATAGATGATGATGACGATGACGATGATGATGATGATTTATTTCGAATCGGACCCATTATTAATCAGCAGGTGATGATGTAAATTATAAATTATGAATGAATTCGAATGAAAAATTTTGAATTGAGAATCACAATATAACACACACACATATGTAAACAAGCAATCAGCTGATTGTGTCCGTGTATATACAAAACTCCACGTTGGATATAAACAAAACACCATCGATCGTTCATGAGATTGTATCGCGATTGTGTGTGTGTGTGTGTTGTGTATGACAATCCTGGATTTTTTTTCTGACAGCTCATGATTTATAACAAGTGGCTATAATATTTGTCATTGATAAAACAAACAAACAAACAATAATCTTTGATACGATACGATTAAAAAAAAAAAAAAAACACGTATACACCGATTGCAATCGATTCTGGTTATTATTGATGGACCAATGACGACAACAACAACAATCGAAACAAAATGACCACCATAACGATCAATAAAACTGAATATTTATTATTCGGTTTTAATCGTCGATTAATACGTTATCTATTGTTATGGTTTATATTTAGTGCAACAACATTATTCCTAAATAAATATATTGTATCATATCAGAATGGTGATCCAATGTTTTTGGGTATGTGTTCATATTGATTGGATTCATTTTAAATCAAATTTTCATTCACAATAAAATCTATAGGTGTCATTCAATTGTTTTGCTGTTCAATTGCAAGCTATACATATCTAAAATGTTTTCATTCATATTTTTCATCCACCATTTTCAATGATGATAATGACCATGATGATAAATTAAAATCACGTACATTTCATCAATTACATTATCTATTGGTTAATCCATTTAAATTTGCTTTGATAGGAGCATTTCGGTTTGTATGATGGAATTTTTTTTTTAAATTCGTTTTTGCTAAAAATTCTTTTTTTTTATCATTGTTTTAGATTATCAACTGTTGCTTTAGGTCTGGTGGCTCTCTGGTATATACCGGTTTCATTTGCCGAAATGATTAAATCTTCAGCACCAATGTTTACAATGGTTATTTCGGTATTGATTATACGGGAAAAAATTTCATTAAAAACCACATTATCATTACTGCCAATAATGATTGGTCTATCATTATGTTCAGCATATGAAATACATTTCAATATAATTGGATTTGCATATGCATTACTTGGTAATCTATCCGAATGTACACAGAATGTATTGAGTAAACGAATATTATTAATGGATAAATATGAAGCAAATCAGATACAATTATTCACCAGTGCATATTCAATTGTATTCCAGATACCATATCTTTATTATTTTATTTCACAACGATTTGATTGGCATTTCGATGATAATCTAGGCCAAGATTTAGGTCTTTGTATCAATTATGTATTATGTGGCCTGTCATTTCATTTACAAACACTAACTGAATATGCATTGCTCAACATGATTAGTCCAATTTCACATAGGTAAATGGTTTTTTTTGTGGCTAAAATTCTTGTGAAAATTTACTTTTTTTTCTCTCCTGTTATAACAACAGTGTAGCAAATACAGTAAAACGTGCCTTATTAATATGGCTATCTGTATTGGTATTTGGTAATCCAGTTACATTAATGTCATGGTTTGGCACAACACTAGTCATTATTGGTGTTATTGTTTATAATAAAACCATACAACAACAACAACAACAACAACAGCAGCAACTAGTCTCATCAATGAAACATGATGATCAAACATCATTCATTTACAAACAAATTGATTCCGTATGATGATTATAGGAAAAAAAAGCAGCAACAAGTTTCATTCCATCATTTTTTCGACATTTTTTCTTTGGTACAATGATGATGATGATGATGATGATGAAAACAAAATGTATAAATCGTATATATTTTTTTTAATATATAAAAAATATGTATCAATAATCAATAATAATAATATAATAAAACAATCTGTTGAATATAATAATAATTATATATAAAGATTCATAATTATAAGGACATTAGTAATTTTTTTTTCCCAATAAAAAAAAATGATGAAATTGAATTTGATTAAGATGAATGTTGTTGTTGTTGTTGTTCAACAGCGACCAGAATTTGTTATTGTTATATGTGTGTGTGTGTGTGTGTGTGGGTGGGTGAAAAATTTGAATTTTTTTAAAAAAAATTTAAAAAATTTTGATCGAAAAATAATTTGATGATTTTGTTGTTGTTGTTGTTGTAGAAAAATTAAGGAACCACTTGTTTTGAAGATGATGATGATGGGATTTTTTTTTTTTTGATTGGGCAAACAACAACAAATCTGATTTGTTGTTGTTGTTGTTGTTGTTGTGAGGGAGAAAAATACAACAGAAAAATTACAAGGAACAAATTTTGATTTTGTCCCAATAATAATGCACATTTATATATATCGTAAATGGTAAAATATGAAAAAAATGAAAATAATTTTCACCGAAACAAATAAATCATATATGTATATGTATATATATGCACCATTAATTATATGCAAAGTGAAAAAAAATGAACCGAAAGCCATCGATGACAATGAAGAATGAAAAAAAAAAGACAGATAGACACATGAAATAAACAAACAAACAAATAAACAAACGAAAAACAAAAAAAAAATATATGGTGGTCGTTGTGTTGGTGGTGTGGTAAATACAAATGAATGTGAGACGAGATGTAAACAAAAAAAAAAAAATACACCGGATAAAGATGAATTGATCCAGAAAAGGATTGGTTTTGATTTGAATGAATTTTTTCCCCATGTGTGTGTGTGTGTGTTTATTCATCAAGTGGGTATTTACAAAAATTTTTTTCTCTTGTTTTGTTTTTCTGGATAATAATGATAATAGGTGTGTGTGTGTGATTGCAATGGATGGCAAAAAAAATTTTAACAATTGCAGCCACGGTGATATAGTAGCAAAACATGTGTGTATGTATTGTAATAATTGTATATAAAATGGTGGGAGTGGCGATACGAAAGGCGATCAAATTGAATAGATACTGTTTTTTTTTCGATTGATGAATGAATGAATGAAAGGATGGACATATATTGATCAACAGCAATTACACAGTGGCAGGTTAAATAATTAAGGAAACTCTTTATATGAAAGGCCATTGTTGTGGATGTGTCATGGATGGTTTTTTTTTTGTTTTCTTGTTTAGTATAGAAAAAAAATGACTTTGGTGAAATTGATGATGATGATGATAGGATGGATTGAAATTTCGGTAATTAGAAAAAATATATCGTATATCAAAGTAGAATTTTTTTATATATTTTTTGTTGTTGTTGTTGTTGTTTTTCAATTTTGCATTGATTGTTCGTTTGTTGTTGTTGTTGTTGTTGCGTAAGCTCTTTAAATTTTTTTTAGGCAAATCAATAAATGATGATGATGATGACGATTCGATGTTTTGCTAATCATTGAATATATCTAATGATGACATGTTTTGATAATGTTTCAATTGACAATTCAATGCATGTCGTTTACACCAATCCTGTGTGGTGAACAATTTTCCACAAAATATACAAGAAAATTTTGGCCTAAAATCACTAAAATGTGTATGATAATGACGTATTAATTTGGATTTTTTGATAAATTCTTTCGAACAAATTGGACATGTTGTTAGATTTTTTTGTTGTATTTCAGCCAATAATGTTTCATATTCAGCAAATGATACTATCGATTCTATGGGTAATGATCGAAACAAAAAAAACCATTAAATTATCAATCTCGTTGTTTAAGATTACAAAAAAAACTTACCTTCAATTGAACGATTATTACCATTACCATTAATAGAGACGTTATTGTTGTTATTATTGTTGTTGTTATTGTTGTTGTTGTTGTTGTTGTTGTTGTTATTATTATTATTATTATTATTATTAGGAACTACAAATTGATTTGCAAAATTGGTCATTGCTAATACGTTTGTCATATCATTGGTTGTTGAATTATTTGATGAATATTCATCATCCATAAATTTGCTTTCTGTTCATTCAGTGAAAAAAAAAATAAAATTTAATTGAAAAAAATAACATTACAAATGTATTTACCTTCAACATCATCATCATCACCGCTTTGTGCATCGCCGGTATTATTTTCAGGTGAATAACCGGTATTCTAAAGAAAAAAAAAACCCAATTAATGACAACATAACACATCTAGACACATTCTATTAAATGACAAATACCTCAGGCGTTGACATTGATTGTTCCAATAGTTTAGTTGGTTCAAATTCTTCTGAATCTTCACGTTCATTTTCATTATTATTATTATTGTTGTTGTTGTTGTTGTTGTTGTTGTTGTTGTTATTATTATTATATACATTGTTATTATTTTTTTCAGAATTGCCATTTGATGTTTTCGTTGTCATACCACTATCACTATTTTTAACATTATTAGGTGAATGAGTTATTGTTGAAAAATTCTTATCAATCGATATGGATTTTGATGATGATGAACCACAATCATCTTTGTTACCACTCCCACCATTACCGCCAGTATCATCATCACTTGTATCACCGCCACCACCACCACCACCACCTGTAGCTAAAATGTTTCCATTTTCATTTGATGGCGTCGGTGTAGTCGTTGATGATCCATTAATCAATGGATTAATATTCTTAAACATTATACTATTACCACCATTCTGTAATTTGATATTATTTTGATGTAGACTATTATTGATTGCACTTGTTAGATTATTATTATTATTCAATGTTATTAATGGATGTTGTTGTTGTTGTTGTTGTTGTTGTGGATATTGTATATTCGTTGTTGGTGTTGTACGTTGTTTTTTTCTTTTTTTCGTATTCATCATCAAATTATTTAATGAATTTACTGAATAATTCAATGGATGTGTTAATGATGATGTGGATGATGATAATGATAAGGAATTATTATTACCATTTAGAATATTCTTTACAGACATTGATGTATGATGATGATGATTATTATTATTATTTAGGATATTATTATGAACAATATTCGATGTTGCATGTTGTTGTTGTTGTTGTTGTTTATTATCACCAAAATCCGCCAGACCTTTTATTTTTAATGTTTCAGCTGTTTTTAATAATGAATTCAATTGATCTTGAGGTATATTCACTTCACCACTATAAATAAAATCAATAATTGCTTTTAAATCATTGAATTTTACATCTTTCAATATGACAATTGGATGTTTACATGGATTTGTCATGAATAGATTCTGAAAATATGGACTACATGTAGCCAATATCATTTTATGTGCTTTGATTGATGCTCCTTCACAGGCCAATGTTACATCGACAAGATTTTCATGTATCAACATATTCTGAAAACCATCGGTCATATTTGTATGGAAACTATTCCATTTAAGACAATATTGCTGTTGCTGTTGTTGATGATGATGACTTATTGAATGATGATTTATTGCAGCCATTATTTATATTTGCCTTTTCTTCTTTTTTTTCTTGGAAATTATACAATACAAAATATATATATAATTCGTTTTCGAACCACCAAAAAAAATAATATTTTTTGTTTTGATTGCCAGAAAAAAAATTGATTGATAATAATAAACCGGACGAGTTACAAAATAAAAAGGATGTGTATATCAAAAAATTTTACGATTCATTTCTGAATAGCGATCCAAGTATTCCACAATTGCATAACACACGTGTTTTATTGTTGTCATTGTTGGGAGCGAAACCGAAACGAGAAGAAAAAAAACGAAAAAGAAAAGAAAATTATTAGAAATTTATGAAAATTTTTCAAGTTTAATTTAATTTAATTAATTAATTAATTAAATTCATACAAGTGGGCGTCATTACATATACAAAATACAGAGACACATTGAACAAATACAAAATGTCCAAAAAAAATTTCAAAGAAAAAACAAACCAGTACAATCCAGAACAAAAGAGATATTCTGATTTCGGGATTAGTGGGGGATACAAAACAAAACAAAACAAAACAAAAAATCATCCAGTTCATACCATACAAGAACCAAAACCAAATAAATAAAAAAAAAAAAAAAAACCAAATCAACAATCATACATCACTACTGTTATTACTACTACTACTGATTATACTGACTAAACTGAGTGTGTGTGTTTGTGTGTCCAAAATTTGTGTTAGTTATTTATTATTATTATATTCTTGATTCTTGATGATGATTCAATGATGCAATAGAATCGAGATTGCTTTATGTTTTTTCTTCTTCTTCTTCTTTTTAGAATCACATTCATGTTTGGTCGTCGTCGTCGTTGTTGTTTTGTTTTCGGTATAGACACACACACACACATATATATAAAGCATGTGCCAACAAATAGAAAATTTTTTTCTTTTTTTTATGATTCTAATGATGCTAAATTGAGAAACACAAGTGTTAGAATTTTATTTGTACGCGCGCGTATGTGTGTGTGTGTGTAAATCTAGGACCAATATATACCATATATAAGCATAATAATAGACACACACACACAAAAGATTCAACAACTCATAAATGTTCAACAGTGCATCACTGGAAGAGAATCCACCAGGCGTCATACACAAGCACACATATAAATGACCAAAAAAAAAATGATAGGCGTCACCCCCTGTCTCCTTTTCCCCAAGATCATTATTGTATGTGTGTGTGTGTCTAGTGTCGTGCCCACTCCCAACCCCCTCCCCAAACAATGAGCAAGCTAAATCCATCAATAATCTTTGAGCCTAATAAAAAGACCAGCGATACATTCATACAGACAATTGTCGCCGTTTTTTTTTCTTGGTAATGATTTTTGAATTTTTTTATATGAAAAAAAAACAAGAAAAAGAACCTTGTCGAACATTTTGGAAGAAGAAGAAGAGGGATATTATTATTATTTTTAAATAGAAAACAACTAACCAACGCCAACGGCTGTTTCTATGTATTGTAATAATGAATGGATAGTGATTTCTGATGATGATGATGATGGAATGATGGGATGCATCTTGTATATTTATTTGGGGAGGAAAGGAGGGAGTGTGTCCTATTCAACCATACACATGATTCACGCTGATGGTTGATGGTTGATGGCGGTGGTAATAATAATGATGATGATGATGATGATGATGATGATGATCAGGAACAAGTTTTTTTTCCTTCTTCTTATTCAACGATGACACTAACTAAATGCAAAAAAAAAGTTAACTCTTGTTGAATATAATGGGCTACTACTATTATTTGGCTATAAGATAGAGATAGATATATTCCATTCTTCAGACACACACCAAATCAACCAAAAAACAAAACAAAACAAAAGAAACCAAAATTCAAAACAATTGTTGAAACGGAACGTTTTGCCATTTTTGTTTCATTATTTCTTTCTTCTTTCATTGCTGGATTTTTCATGTTATTTTTTTTTTTTTTGAAGGTTACACAACAAGAAAAAAAAATCCATGTTTATCGGGCTCCCTATATGTATAATATACACGTTCATTTCATATTATTAACACTCTCGTTTCTTTCTATCTCGCTCCCTCTTGCTGTTATTTTTTTTCTTCTTTTTTTCTTCCTATTTGGTACATTCATTCATTGGATTTTCTTGTTTTTTTTGGGATTTGCACACACACACACACACACACACACACACGCAGTTTGGGGCATTAATAAATGGATTTCTACCACTTGTGTTTCGTTCGTGAATTGAGCAATAATTCTATGGCGCCCAAATATTCAGAATACGAAGAAAAAAAAAGATCATATTTCTATATAAATACACACAAGATACTTATATTATTATTATTATTATTATTGTACCACACACAGATTTAAACACGCGCGCATGATAGGGACAGTAGTCGTTTGTTAATTTTTTTTTTTCGTTTTGACATTGAAAATTTCCATATATACTACCATAATAATAAACACACACACTTATTAGTCTTTTTCTCTTTTTATTTAAAAATGAAAAAATGTTTTCAAAAAAAAAAAATCATTCTCTTTCTCTTGCTTTTTATATGTTCATTGAAAATATTTGGATTTTTTTTTAGAAGGATGCAATTCACACACACACACCTGTTAACATACTAACATACTCTCTCTCTCTGTGTGTTTGCGTGCATTTATATTCATGTGTGTGTGTGTGTTCCAAACCAACATGGTTGTTTTGGAACATGAGCTTTTCCCTTTGTGTGTGTGTATCCAAGCGCCAAAAACGAAATTTAATTTTTTTTTGTTTTTAAATATTAATGTGGTATTTAGATGAAAATTTTTTTTTTTTGGAACCTTGTGTGCCTGTTTGTGTCCTATGTGAATAATGACAGAAGAAGAAGAAAAAAAAATAGCCAAATGGTACATGAATTGAAATGTTTCATTTTCATTTTGAAGAAACAAAAAAATTTGTCACAATTTTGTTCTAAATAAATAACAAACACAAGACACGAGACACGAGACACACACACACACACAGTGGAAACAATGACATTTTTTTGTACATATATAAAAGACAGACAATAAGACAATTGTCATTTGGATCGAGCCAGTTTGGTCCAAATATATTTTAAAAACTACAACCAAGTCAAAACAAAAAAAAAAAAATGAATTGCATTTGAATCTATGGTGCCGCACCTGTATGTGGTATGTATGTGTGCATTTATGCAGGTAATATATAATGTGATTATTTTTTACCATTGAGTGTGTGTGATTGCAAGTGCAATCTGTGTCACAGTGTGTGTGTTCATTCAAGTGTGTATATGTGGCGTGGCATTTTTATGTTTCAATTTTCTTTGGTCACAAATTTTTTTGCATTTGGATAAAAAAAAGGACTTTTGTTTGTATTCATTTCTGGTCTTGTGACATTTTTTTTCAATTGTCTGTGCGTATGTGTGTAATAATAATGAATATATATACAAGATTACTTACATTGCAAATGTAGTAGAAAACGATACCCACGATTGGTGATTGACTAATTTTTTTTTTGATTTGATTTGATTTGATTCATTTGTGATGTTTATATTGATTATAATTCATAATGAAAATTGGATCATTGTGATCGATGAATCACGCGCACAAACACACACAAATCGAACACAAACACACACGTTTATTTTGTTGATGATAAAAAGGCGAATCAAATGTTGAATGATCCAGAATTGTGAAATGTGAAATGATTGAGTGGATTCGTTGCCAAAATACAAAATCTGTATGAATGAGATAGAAAAAATATTCACTTTTTTAGTAATTTTTTGGGGTTCCAAAAACAAAAAAAAAAACAAAAAACAAAGGCAAACCATTCGAATGATGATGACAAATGACGAAGGTCACAAGAAGTGAGAGAGACATTCGAATTATTTGATCGAATTTTACGGATCAAAAATTGGAGCTCACATACATCGACAACGAAACCGAAATACATACACATTCAACAAGACTTAACATAAAATCAAACCAAAACCAAAATAAAAATAAAATGAATGAATACCACCAAGCTATTTGAGAGATATATAAAAATATAAAATAGCGCGCAAGATCGAACCAAGCGCAGGTTTTTTTTTTCTTTTGGCTGTAGAAAAATAGATACACACACACACACACACACAAACACATTCTTTCGCCTTCTAGGCTCTTTGTTACTGTATATAATTTGTGTGTATATGTGTCGGCTATTGGTAATGATGATGATGATGATGGGCTAAACTTACACACACACACACACACATACACTGGGATCCTTCGGATCCTCTTTCCCTTTACTATACTCGATGATCGCGTCATTCTACATAACACACACACACACATACCACATACGTTTACAGAAAAAAAAAGATAAAAAGTGAGGGAAGAGAGAGAGAGAGAAGTCCTAGGCTACCACCACAACATTTATTATAAAATGGAAATAAAAAGCTAGGATATAACACAAACCGAGCCAAGCCGAGGTAAAGGCGTTGGCTAGAGAAAAAAAAAGAGTCGATATACACAAAACACAACAATACTCCAAGTCACTTTTTTTAGTCATCCATCCTGATCAAGTCGCCCAATAAACTTTAACAACAACAACAACATACCATTCAAATAACAAAAACATCACATTCAAATACAACAAACCAAATAGAACTAACCACACACATTACAAGAGCAAGGAAAAAAACCAAATAACAACAACAACAAAAACCGGGAGACTTGTGTGTGTGGTTGATGTATTCGAAATATATGTTGATCATTCGATGGTGGATCAATCAATCGATGATCGATGATGATGATGATGACAATTTTCACTTTTTTTTTTCCAAGAGAATTGATAGATGGATAGAAAAAAAAACCAAAACAAAAACAACACCCACCCACCCTATTTGATGAATGGTGATGATGATGATGAAATAACAAAAGCAAAAACAAAAACAAAAACAAAACTTGTCACAATATGTCACACACACACAAAAATCAATTTTTATAACAAAAAATAATCAAGGGCCCAAGGAAAAAATAAGAATTCGAATTTTTTTTTGTTGCACATAAAGAAAAAATTGAAATTTCGAACATCATGTGTGCCAAGTCTTTATTTTTTTTTTTGGCGTGTATCGTGTGTATGTATCGAGCCAGATGGAGTGTATACACAAAATGAGAAAAAGAATGTATAGGATTTTTTGAATTTGAATGGCGCTATTTTTTTTTTTTTTTTTTTTTTTTGGAAACTTGCTTGGTTCCTTTTTTTTTCTCCAAGCGTAGCATTATTATTGAAACATACACAACACACACACACAGACACACAAAACGTTTTTACACGTTATATTGACGCTTGCTAGATTGTATTTCTGCGTGTGTGTGTGTGTGTATGTATATATAATATATACGTATACGTTTTTCGTTTGTTCGTGCGTTTGGTCTCCTTTTTGTATGTTTTTTTTCCAAAAAAAAAAAAAAAAAAAATGCTGATGTGATGGATAATAATGCGTTCAAGATTGTTAATTTTGGTTGTTGTTGTGGTGGTGGTGGTGGTGGTGGTGCCCTTATACCAAACGCCATGGTGCGATTGTTATTTAGCTAGTACCAGTTTTATGTGTTTTTTTTTTGGTCGTGGCCATAATTAAATGGCCACATTTAGTTTGTTTGTCTGTGTCTGTGTGTGTGTATTGTTGTTGTTGTTGTTGGTCGAGCTCGATGTTTGCGCGATCTTTGGTTGCCGTTCGAATTCATTCCCATTCATACACATTTCATCATTTTTCTTGTTCAGCAGTTGTTGTTGTTGTTTTTTTTTTTGAGAGTAGCAAAAAAAAAAAAACTTTATTGTAGTGGTGGTGGTGGTGGTGGTGGTGGTTTGGTTTGATTGTCGTCGATGTCGTGTGTGGTGGTTTAATAAGGCCGTAGGGGAGAGGCGAAGCAAGTAATTTGAAAATCCTAGAAAAGAGAGAGAGAGAGAGAGAGAGATGTCGTGAGGAATCATAGAATGTTTTGATGATGTGTGTGTTGATGTTGGTTGGGCACATCAAATGCTACACTTACCAAAACACTGTGTGTATTGATTGAGGTCCTTCAAATTTCTCATTTCCATTTCCTCATTTTTTATTTTCCTTGATGACTAGGTTTCATTGAAATTGAATGTTGTTTCAATTTCAATTACTACCTACGTTTTTTTTTTGTTTCCAATCATAACCACACAACACAAATAACACTGGTTGATCATTTTGAAAATCAATGAATCATTTTTTTTTTTTTGATCATTTACTATTTCTGGACCATATCTATTCTTGGTATACATCCTGACATACATACATACAATGGCCTGCCTTTTGTTTTTATATATCAGCCACTCCCAAAGTACATAGGTCATGACCATTTGATGAACAAACGATTCTCTTTGGCCCATCATCTCTTTGAAAATTGAAAACGAAAAAAAAAATTGATGCGGCCATTTGCTATTAATAACTACTAGTATACTAATAGTATTGCTACTATCATATAGGGACTAGAATCTTGTTGTTTGAATTGATGTGATGTGATTTGATGTGCTTGTAAACGGACTAGCCCAAAATGGCAGCCATTCGATTGAACCCAACAACACACACACACACGATATAGTTGTTGTTGTTGTTAAGGTCGTCCATGAAAAATCGACCGGTCGAATCGATTCGACCGACCAAACCACATTTTAGGGACCTGACCATGGTCTATCTCTATTTCTATTTCTATCTATATCAATGTTGTCAGTTTAGCATCCTTATCGGCATTCTATGATATATACCCCCTTATAGTATTCCACCATTAACTTATAACCAATTTTAACATCCCCAATATATTTCTAGGCATTTGATTTGAATGAATGAACGAGTGATTGTGAAAGACCAACCAATCTGACAAGAAAAGTTTCCAAAAAAAAAAAAAAAAAATCCTATGACCTCGAATGAACTCTGACTTTGTGACTCTTTGTGATATAATAACACTTATTATAAATGCACATATGAACATTTTAGGGTCTGTCCCTCTCTCTCTCTCTTGAGAATGAAACGAATGTCTTGAATGATGAAGATGAAAAGATCGTATTTTTCTTTATCATTCTTCAAGTGCAACAAAAACAAAAATGTTGAAAGTTCATTCGAATACGACTTTTGTGGACATAATATTTTTAGGAAGTTGATGTCATTGATGTCAAAATAGTTGTACGCGAGGAATAAATTTTTTTTTCCAAACATTCGAATTCGAATGATTTGCCCAAAAAAAAATGAAAAATGAAAAACAGATTGCCACCGTCATATATCAATTATATGTGTATGGACACCTGTCGATGTGCTGTATTTTTTTTTTTTTAATTTCACAAACACAAAAAGAAAAAACACCTGTCGTCATTTTTATTCTATATATGACTATGACGATAATTTGGGACCCAATCATCATCATCACCACCACCATCATTCGACCATTTGAAATTGTTTCGAAAAAAAACCAAGCAATAGACCCCAATGATAATGAATGTAGGTGCCCAGAATATTCTTTTCGATTTGTTTCTATCGTTTTTTTTTCGTTGTTGTTGTTGTTGTTGTTATCCTAGCCCAAACAGCTATAATTGTGAATATTTGGTCGTGATGTACTACTACTATTTTTCGTTGTCAAGTTGCCAGGAAAAAAAATACTGAATTATTCAACCCAGCGAGAGAACTTGTGGAAAATTTCTTTTCCTTTTTTTTATTTTACCATCCGTTTCGTTTATTTTGTTTATTCATCACCAACATCATTGGTAAGGCATGAATGATCCCCAACTGTCTTGTAAATATAATAGAAAAATAATACCGACAAAATATGGCCAACCAAACTACCGACCCGTAGAGTCGACCAATCAACCGACCAAAGAGATAAAAATACAAGAAAAAGAGAGTACGTCGACCCAAACGATACTCAAAATATTATCAACTAATTTTTAGTGCATACAAACATACACAACACACACACATACATGCACAAAATATATACCCGATATACCAATAATAGAAACCAATGTAACCGAAATCAAAGCCAAAAAGAAAAAAACGACGACGATGACGACGACGACGACTATAAATGACGACAAAACGCCAAAGTTTCCTCCTCATTTTGAATTCAAATATTCGAACCCGAATGACAGAGCATTAGAGGAGTAGCAACATCATCATCATCATCATCAGCAGCAGCAGCAGGCAGCCATTATCAATAATCAACAAAATACATTCCTAGCTTCAAGAAAAAAAAGAGAGTAACCTCGGACCTGAATCTAACCTGAAATTTGAAAGAAACAAAAAAAAAGGATAAACCGGAACGAACTTACTTTGTGTGTGTTTACCTTTTCACACACACACACACACACACAGCTAGGTATATAATGATCTTTTTTTTAACATAAAGACAACGATCAACCAACCATGTATCAACCATCCAAAGAACCTGTTCTTGAACGGACAAAAAAAAAAAAAAAAAATTTTTTTAGATACCAGATGATCCCCGAGAATTTTCATCTAATGCATTCATGCATGTGTATGGTGTGTGTGTGTGTTATGTAAGAGTAATAAAAAAAAAAAAGACTCGCCCGAAGTTCATGATCATTATTGTCGACGTCATAGGGTATTTAGCCAAAGACAAACAAAAACCTGAAAATTTCAATGGTAATCATCATCATCATCATATAAACTTAAAGGTCCACACACACACACATAGAATATATGTGTACTAGATGCGCATGTTTCAATAATTTTTTTTTCTATTTTCAATTCATCATGATGATGATGACGATGATATGGTATTTGGTCCGGCCCAAATACTTACACACACACACACACACACACTACGGATATAGACTGATCCAAATTGAATTCTAGGAATAGAAAAACCAACCATAAAAAGAAATTTTGTAAAAACCAGAAAAAAAACATGATCCCTGCCCAACAAAAAAAAAACTTGGAACTTGGAACAAAAAAAAAAAAAAAATCGTCCGGTTCGTCTGGATAAAATTTGGGTGTGGTTGGTTTTTTTCCCGCATACACACACACACACACACACTGAATTTTTCAAAAGACCAGAAAAAAAAATTAAATGTCCCTGGATCCAGTCAGTTATGAATTTATGTCATTTTTTTTTCTTGCATGCTGATGAATACCGGAATTTGAAACGTGCGCGCGTGTGTGTGTGTGTGTGTGTGTGCGCGCTCTCTATCCATACGTAAATGAAAATAAAACTCCCCATATAAAGTTGACATTTTTGTTGTTGTTGTTGTTGTTCAAGACTAAAAAAAACAGCATCATTTTGACAATATGACACACACACACACAAAGTACAAGGATCTATAATTCAATATCGTGCAGTTTGTATGTGTGTGTGTGCGTGTTTTATTTCAGGAAACGCGTCAATGAAAAAAAAAATGATATTTTCATCATTTGCTGGTCTCTGTGTGTGTATATGAACCATAGTTTGTATAGTTGTAGCTGTGGTAGCATGATGGATCCAAATAAACAAATATAGCAGAAGAGATATTGATAGAGATGGAGAGAGAATGAGAAAAATAAATAGACCAACAACAACAAAATAATTGAAACCAAACTGAATGTGGATGACATTCATATACAAAAGAGACAATTCTCTCTCTTTTTCTTTTCGTTGTTTTTATTTATGTGTGTGTGTGTACACTTCGTTATTTTTCGATGTCGATGTCGATGTTTTTTTTTTTGGACATGGTCACACACACACACACACACACACATACAAACGCCATAGGAGACCTCTCTTTATCTCTGTACGACTGGTTTTTTTTTGGCTTTTTGCCATTTTCGATTTATAATATGGATGACACATTAGTATGTTGGATTGAAATTGGCATTTTATAAAGAGGATCTTTTTACATATACATGGCTTGGTTGGTTTGGTTGTTGGTTGGTTGGTTGGTTGGTTGGGTTGGTTGGCTGGGTCAAATTGATTGGCACACAAGAAGGAAAAAAAAGTGTTGCTGTCGTTGATGAAAATGTTGAACAAAAAAAAAAAAAAAAACTTGGACGATTGGACTATATATTCAGGATCCTTGAATTTTTCATGATGATGATGATGATGATGACCATGTAGCCATTGATGCTTGACAATGGTTGTTTGGCCATGAATTGATGATGATGATGATGATGGTGGTGGTATAGTAGTCGTAGTGATTGGTGATTGTAATTTATCAAATCTCCATCAAATACATTTTGTGCAACAAGTCCTATTGCGTCTGTCTATTTGGAACAACAACAACAGCAACAACATTTTCCACATTTTCATTGGATTCAATTCATTATCATTATGCTGGTGGTGTAATAATTTTTTTTATTATTATCATCAACAATAACAAGATCCAGCTGGTCCACTGGATGATGATGATGATGGTTTCAAAATTTTTTTTTTGGGTTTTGTTTTGTTTTGACTTTAATTAGTTTTTTATGTTTTGACCTCATTTGATTTAAATCAAATTATTATTACTACTACTACTACTTATCTATAGGTTAGATTTGTATTATACAACAATAGAATAGTATGTATCATTATCATGGATTCGGTTAAAAATGGTATTAAAATTGTAATTGTAAATAGCCACCAAAATAGTTGACATTCCCAGCCATCCATTATGAATGATGTTAATGTTATTGTACCAAATGTATGGATACAAAATGCTGTTGTAAGAAAATAAAAAAATGAAAAGGAAAAATTGTCATCTGTTGATAAATTGATGTGGAAATAGAAAAAAAAACCAAACATACTTTTGGGTTTGTTTAAAAAATAAAGGAAAAAAAATGTCAAAATTTAATACTTACAAAATAATGTCTGTTTAGCATGTATCATCGTAATGCCAGTAATGAATGATAATAGTTCAAGTATTAGTAATACGATCGACAGGGACAGTCCAACTACCAATCTTTTTTTTTACATCACCATCATTATCATTATTATTATTATCATTAACCATGATCAACATCAGCCATGATCATTATCATTATCATTATCATCATCATCATCATCATTGGTGAAGGAAAAAGAAAGAAAATAAAAAACGCGTGCCCAAAGAGACATAGTTCCACATTCCATAGATAGGTTGTTGTTGATTAAAACAAGACAAGTACACATGAATTTGATGATGAATGACCATGTTATTATTCATCAAAATCAATCGATCAATCGATCGATCGTATCGATAGCGATGATAAACATAGAACAGGAATAAATGAAAAAAAAAAAAATTACTTTAGTATCGTTGAAAATCGAATGGAACACTCAAAAAAAAGGAAAAAATGTTTTATTATTCATAGATAACGTACTCATAATCTTTTGACCAATATTCCTTATCACTATGATTCCATGATAAACATAGCCGTACATTATAATCCTGTATATATATGAAATGGAAACACAACACAAAAAAAAAATTTTTTATTTCAAATTCAAAAAGTAAAGATGTCAAATGATTAATATATCATCATCGACGTCATCAAAAAAAATGATGATAATAAATAAACAGGAACCAAGCAGAGAATATTCGGACAAAAAAAAACAAACAAACAAAAAAGAAAAAGAAGCAAACGGAATGTCATTAATATTAATTAGATTGACATTGAAAAATTAAATTCGATGATAATGATGATGATGATCTTCAAATCTTCTTCAGACTTGATCACTTTCTCTTTTTTTTCTACTCAAATAATTTATAATTATACTTACACGATTCGATATAAATAAAATGACAAGGACTAAATGTGCCACAAGCGATATAAAACGTAAGGATATTATCCATTTCATTTTTGTTTTGTTTGTTATCATCACCGTCGTACTACTTGCTACTACTATTTAATTAGTGTAGTTAAATATCAGGTGAATGAATAAAAAAAAAACAACAACAAATGTGCAATGGAAAAAAAAGACTTTGATTCGAACGATTTGAAGGTAATTTTTTTTGCCCCCTTGTACGGAGATTCGGTTGTGTGTGTATGTCAGGGGAAAAATCGAAATTTGAAGAAAAATCTATCAAAAGGAATCGATTATCGAAGGTCTTGTTTCTTTTTAAAAAACGTTTGTTTCGTTTTATTCTTCAATGACTGTTGTTGTTGTTGTTGTTTTTTTTGGATCGAACATGAATCACAAGTAGTTTCAAAACAAATTCAAAACATTGGCCATCATCCAGTTACCATGGTGATTTTGATAATAAAAATTATATATATGAGAACAAACAAAGATCCAATTGGAACACACACATACAACACGTGTAGTATAATTTTTTTTTATTTACGTTTAATATTTATATTTTTTAAAAAATTTCCATTCATTTTTTACTTCGAATCAATCTTGACAATAATGAATGTCCACTTAGATAGGCAATGGCACTTAAACCAGCCAAATATTTGATAGTTTGAAACATGTTCAATTTGAGAAAGAAACAAACATATAGTAAAAATATGGCTGCAACACTGCCATGGAATAATAATGCCGATAATGAAAATTGAAAATCCGATAAATTGATACCAATTTTGAACCACTAAATGAAAGAAACAAAATGAAAATGTAGAATAATCATCATCAAATATTAAATGATACTTACAGCAACAAACAAACCAAGCAATGGTAATAATGCTAATATTGTGAAAAAATTCGATACCATTGCATGTGGACGTTTATCTTGTTCACGGAATATATGTTTAATTTCTGGTTTCGGTGAATATTCTTTACGATGCATAGTGGTAGCCAGTCCATTTGTTGATGATGATGATGAACCAAATTGTAGATTAATCATACCAATTTTCCAGCTTGTAGCTTCAATAATCAATGGATCACCAATATATAGATCCAATTGATATTTACCCGAAAGTTCATTAAAATCTTTTGAACGTGCTGGAAGATTTAGATCGACTTTATGAAAACCAGTTGAATCCAATTCCGAAACAAAAGTTATTTCTTGTTTAGTATCCATATGATAGAATCGAACAAATGACTGATGTACACGGACAGTTTTATCGTTTTGGGAATCTTTTATCTGAAATTTCAATTGAATACGTTGCAGATAATCAACATCGATCAATTGATCCAATGATGTTGGATAAATGAGACTAGGAAAAAAATCGATTAATGATTGAATTTCAATGTAACCAACAACAAAAAAAAACTTACCCAAAAGTTTTCGTACCAACATCAGCATCCGTTATGGTCAATTCAGCATCATCAATTTTAATCTGTGTCAATACACTTAAACCGATTGTAATGCCGGTATTGCCAAGAATTCTTGAATCAGATTTTTGTGGTGAAACATTCACAGTTAACGTATAGAAACCAGATGCCAATGATAATGTACTTTTATCTTTGAAAAAATCATATGCAAACAATGTACTATCACCTTCGACTGATTTGAATTGAATATTCTTCATTATTGCATTGTTTTTATCTTTATTCAATGACAATGATGCACCGGTAACGGTTACCGGACCAACAGATTCACCAAGAACATTTGTTATTTTCAATGTCAGTACAGGATTATCATTTGCCGATAAAGAGGATGATCCAAATTTGGTAATCATATATGGAATGTGATATTTATTATTGGTGAATAATGCCAATGTTTCGATCACTTCGGATGCACCTTTCGGTGTGAGAACATATTTACGTGATAGGAAATAGTTTACAAATTTCATTGCCTGAGCTGCAGTTATACCAACGGATTTATTGACAGCGGTGGCCAATTGATAGACACCACGAATGACAGCCGATGAAACACCTAAACCACCTTCGAATTGAAGATATTTTCCATTCACTTCATCCGCTTGTACAATAACATCGGCCATCTTCTCAACGAATTGATTCTGATCCTGTGGTTTAGCAAATTTCGATGCCAATTGAAATGCTAATCCAGTATTCAATAATGTATCTTCACGTTTCAAGGCTTCAATTAATAATCGAGGAAATTTCGTTGAATCTAATGGTTTGCCCATATTTGCCAATGCTAATCCAGCACGATAAACATCCATAACGGTCAAATCATTTTTAATCAATGATTGTAATTTTGTGGCCAATTTTGTCGTATCCAATTGACAACCGGTAAGCAGTTTGGCGATCGATGTTTGATAATAAATCGATTCGATTGTTTCACCGGAATCTTTTTTGATATGATCACATATTTTCTGCGATTCAGATACCGATTTATCTAGATGAAATTTGAGATTAATATTGTAGTAAATATTGGCCAATGTATTTGCCGATAATGGTGTTTTTAATTCGATAATTTTTCGTAGTCGTAATTTATCACCATCCGTTAGACTGATTGTTGGTTCATGGTTACCATTGGCCAAGATCAATATAAACAAATGACCAACTAATAATAGGATGAATATAAATTGTCGGAATGACATTGTTTTCAATAACCGTCGATGACGATCGTTTTTTTTTCTCTTTCAATGAATCCTCGCCGGTAAATAGTCCACAACAATACTGAAAAAAAAATAGATTTTCCGAAATAATTTTACTCAAATACACGTGTCAACTTGGAATAAAATTTACTAGAAATTTTCCCCATTTATTCTTAAATGGATTACAAGCGACATCTATTGAATTGAAAATGAAAATTTTTTTTTCACAAAATTCGAGAAAAAAAAATATTCCGGAAAACAAACGATAAACTGTTTTATTTTTGTGGTAAACTAGAAATTCTAAAAATCAAATTCGTACATGATTGTGAATGTGAAGAACATTTGGCCATGATTTAATCCATAATATTTTGCAACAACTTATACTTCAAAGCCCCGAGTATTTCCTTAACACCATTGAATCTCTTCAATAATAATGAATGATCATCAATTCTAAACTAACCCCATAAACATTGATTGATTGATTTTCAATTTTCGATTTCAAAATTCAAATCGGGATCGATGATTCGGCTCAACAAAATTCGTTCATCACACACACACACATTCTTTTCCACTCTTTTTCTCTTTCACATCCATCCATCCATCCATCCACTCACATACACATTGCAGATTTGATGCTCTTGTAAGCAATAAATAATAAGTATAAGTATTTTTTTCAGCTAAAAATAAACTAAAACTAAACTGAGTAACGTATCATACACACACACACACACACACTCTGATACACACGCCCGCAAATCATAATTTGTTTATCATCATCATCATCATCATTTGTTGATTATAGACCAGAAACAAAAAACACAAAGCAACAAGTGTAAATTCCAAAGACCTAGCTCAATTTTACTATAAGACTTGAGATATAAAATATGAATGTTGATGGTGTTCGATAAACGTATGTTGATTTAACCGTTTTTTTTTCTAACTTTTTTCACGTTTTTTTTTTGTTTTGTTTGCCAACAGTTGAACAGACATTCGAATCATATCTTGGTTCACATATTGATGATACATGATTCATCATGCATAATGTTGAATCGATTGATTGATTTTTTTTCCAATTTGAATTGTTGATTAATTTCATTCTTTGAGTTTATTTTTTTTGTGGTAAGTTTTTCTTGTTTCATTTCAAAAATTAATTTTTTTTGTTTTGTTTTGTTTTGGCTCATATTCTGGTGTATAGATATTTTTCATAATTTCATCCAGTTGAAAAACAACAACAACAAAAAGAAAATGGAACGAGAACCTGCGGATGGTTGTGATTTTGAGCCAAACATTGTTAATATCCAACGTACCGATGGTGATGGTATTGAAACAATGGATTTAAATGAAATGACAATTCTTGATCAACATCGTAATCATAATTCACATCATAATAATGGCATTATTGACCGTAATAATAATCATGAAATTAATAATCATTCATCATCAACATTGATCGATAATGAAATAGAAAATAATGGTCGAGAATCATCAAATGATAATAATAATAACGATGACGATGATGATATATCATATTTACGTTGTTCAAGCTTACAAACTGAAGACATACAACGTCGTCGACAACGACAAAATCAACGACAATCATCAGCCGGTTATCCAGGACTGGCATTCGGTTCACCAATGTATTCAAATACATTGTTTAAATTTAGCATTATTGCAAATGAGATCAAAGATTTGAAACAGAATCAATTGAAAAAGGTTTGTATTCAACACATACTGCATACATGAAAAATATGAATTTTTTTTTCAATTCAATAACTCGCTCGTAATTAGGTGTGTTTGTGTATGCATGTCTGTAAATTGTGTTTTCATCATCATCATCATCATCATATAACAATGACTTTTGTCTACGACAACAAAAAATTTGACAATCATCCTTTTTTTTTTGTTTGTTCCACAAGTCATCATCATCATGATGATGATGATGATGACAATGGCAAAAAAAAATATGTACAGACAAATTCCTATTGGTCATCATTCCAAATCGTGTGTTGTTCTGTTTTTATATTCATATTCATCATTTTTGTTTATTGTTGTTGTTGTTGTTGTCCTAATGATACATCACGACAAGAGTTGATGGGCAACTAAAACATAAAAATTATTATTATTAGTCACATAGGAGATATTTTAATTGATAGTTTAGTCAGTAATAAGTAGCCAACCTTTATTCTGTGCATGTGTGTGTGTGTGTGTGTGTGTGTAAATTAATGGTTTTTTTTTAAATATAAATCACAACACCTGTTGTTATTTAAATTATCATTTTATTTAGATTCTTAAATACTAGATGTCGTGCTTGAATCTATTGTATTAATTAATCCCCTTTTTGAAGATTTAGGATTCTCTCAATTCTCACTAACCCCGTATGTGTGTGTGTCTGTGTGATGTTTCAATGAATCATAGAATGAGAAACACACATGTATATTTTATTTATTTGGCGATTCATTCATTCATCATTTGTTTTTAATGCTGCTAGATTCATTCATTCATTCATTCATTTTATATAAATTCAGGATTCAACCTTCAAAATAATAATAATCACACACACACACACACAGACACACTGTGTGTTTTATTTAAATGGGGCCACCGCCTTTTTAAATGTGTGTGTTTGTGTGTGTGTGATATGTGTGGTTCATCATATATATAATGTATATATGGATTCGTTTCACATCTGGCCATATCATCATCATCATCATCATCAGTTAGGTTAGGTTATGTTTTTTTTCAAAATATGGTCGTGTCTGTGTGTGTATATTGTGTGTGTGTGTGTGTTGGGTTTTAAGTGGTAGGATCCAATGCGGCTGCTTTCCCTCAAATAAAAAAAAAATGTATATGAGCTTCGAGGACAATCAAACTCTTGACTACTATCAATGTGTGTGTGTGTGTATGTTTTTATTCCCATTTTTATTTTCAAAATTGTAATTTTTGTTTCTAGTTTTTCAATTTTGGCGTGGCTTTTTTCTTCTTCTTCTGATGATGATGATTCAGGATATTCATCATTGACGATAATGTTACCAACTAACTAACTAACCAACCAACCACTACAATCATTATCATTAAAAAAATAGTGGATCCTGAATTGCACAACTACCTGTTCTCTTGTTGTTGTTGTGTTTTCTGGTGTTCTGTTCTTGTATTTGAACGACATTTCTTCCTATTGATGATAATAATGATATGATGATGATGATGATCTTTAATGTTGCTGCTGTAAAAAAAAACTTGTGTTCCCGGTATCCATAGGTACAATTTTTTTTTCTATAGTTGATGGTGGTGGTGGTGTTAAATAAAACAACGAAAAACAACAGAAATTTGATTTCGGGTTTGGTCATGTTTTCATCGTTGTTGTTGTTGTTGTTCCAAACAATAGTGCAAACATAGTGTCCATACATAAATACAAGTCATTCCAGAATTTGTCGCCTATATTTCTTGATTGTAGTGGTGTTGTTGTTGTTGTTGGTGGTGTTGGTTTGATTGTTGTCTTTTTCAAGTTATTTTGCATATATAAATTTGTTGTGTGTGTGTGATAACGATATATCTATTTGAAAAAAACGACTGTTATCATCATCTAAATTATCATCATCGTCGTTGTCGTCGTCGAAATCACTGGTTTCTTGAATTTTTTTTTTGTTGTTGTAGTTGTTCACACTTGGTTCGTTTGAAATTGCATCTTCAGTGTTGTGTATGTGTGTACGTTTGTCTGTTTATAAATGTGATCATCATTCCATTGATTAATTCATTCCGTATTTCGGGAACACTTTGATCCATTCCTCTTCTAATACTGCCACCACCAAATTACAATTTGGGACCAAATTGATTTATATATTTGTTTTGTTTTTGTTTTTCATCTGAAAACATCATTTTCAATTTGTAATTCTTTGTTGAATAAAATTGTATCAACAAACAAATTTTGCATCTTTTCAATTGAATTGAATCAAAAAACAAAAAAACAAAAAGCAAAAAAAATGGCCAATCAAGGTTCATTGTTGGATGTGTTGAAGAAAAAAATGCGATCCATGAAAGAGGATCTTGAAGCAAGTCAAGAAGCGGCACAAGAAAATCATCAAAAATATCAGGTTGAAAAACGTCGCCGTGAAGAAGTAAGTTTTTTCGTTTTTCACTTTTTTTTTTTTGCCACATTCATTTTATTTCGAATCGAATTGTTCCATAAAACATGTGTGAACCATCGAAAAAAAACAATCGATTATTATTGTGAATGTTTTGACCGAATGATTCAGTCAGTATTTTCTTTTTTTTGCATATTCTTATCTCCAATCAACCATTATATTGATATATGCGGATTATCCAATGTTTTTTTTTGTTTTTGTTTTAACGAGGAGCGGATTTGACATTCTAATCAATGATATGATGATTGGGTGCGGTTTAATGTTTTTTTTTTTTTTGATTATACCATTTTATTGTGTGTGTGTGTGTGTGCATTATTCGTTTGATTTCAACAAACGACTTTATTTTATCCGATTGCAACAGTTTTTTTTGTTTGTTTGTTAAATTCCAAACAAAAAACAAATTTTAGATCAATTTGATTGAAATCAAAAGTTTTTGTTTTTTTTTTTTGTTGATTTGTTGATGATGTGATGAAAATTTGAAAATTTATTACATTGAAAAACATACGAGAGCAAGCACCCAATCAATAATTCAAAACAATTTTTTTTCAAATGAAATTTTTCTCTTTCTCTCTCTCTCTCTTTCTATGAAAATATGTTTATGACGCAAAACAAAAAAAAAAAAAAAATTTATAGGCCGAATCCGAAGTATCAACATTAAATCGTCGTATACAAATGATTGAAGATAATCTGGAAAAAACTGAAGAACGTTTACGTATAACGATGATGAAATTAGAGGAAGCACAACAAGCAGCGGATGAAAGTGAACGTATTAGAAAAACATTGGAAACAAAAACCAATATGGAAGATGATCGTATATCATTTTTGGAGGCACAATTAACACAGGCACGACAGATTGCTGAAGAATCGGATAAAAAATATGAAGAGGTAAGAAAGGTCACCATACATACACATATACACATACACAGGTCAAAAAATAAAACACACGCACAAAAAAAATGAAAAATTTGGTATACAAATCCATTTCGGATGCCCAGAAAAAAATCAAATCCAATCAATAATCAATTTCCTTGTTTCGTTTCCGTTTTTTTTTTTTTACTTTTTTATTTTTAGTATATGAAAGCGATGACTATGTCATGATCTGATCTATGATGTTTTGTCGTTTTTCCTTGTTATTGTTGGTCAAAAAAAAAAAAAATTGTCATTGTTTTTTCATTCATTTATCATTATCGTTTTTTTTTGTTGTCTTCCTCATAATTAAAAAGAAAATTTGAATAATAAATATTTAATGTTGAAATAAAACAAAAAAAATTATCATTTCAATTTTAATTAATAAATTGATTGATTGATTGATCGGAGTTTATTCATTGATCAAATAAAAAATAATGCTGCCAATGTGGTGTCAATCAGTCTGCTGAGTCAGTCAGTCAGTCAGTCAGTCCGTCAGTGTGAGTGTTATGTACCAAATCCGGATCGATTCTATTCTATAGGTTCATTATTAATCAGTTTGTCACTTTAGGTTTATCTCTGTGTATTTTTATCTTTAAATAATTATCCGTAATGGGCATGGATTTGACATTTTTTTGTGTGTGTGTGTGTGTTGATGATCTGTGGATGTGAATGTGTTTATTATGAATTGAAATTAATTAATTTTTTTTAATGAATTGAAAATTTTTCAAAGATGGCTCGAAGAATTGCCATGCTTGAAGCTGATCTTGAACGTGCCGAAGAACGTGCTTCGAAAAATGAAAGGTTTGTTGTTCATTGATTTCAATGGTGAATGATGATAATTTTTGTTTTTTGAATAGCAAAGCTGCCGAATTAGAAAGTGAATTGAGGATTGTTGGTAATAATCTAAAATCATTGGAAGCAAATGAAGAAAAAGCCCATACACGTGAACAAACATACGAGAATCGTATTAAAATGCTTTCGGCAAAACTTAAAGAGGTTAGATGGCAATGAATGAATGAATGATTTAAATTTTAAAATTTTCTTCACTTTATATATCATATAATAATTAGGCTGAAACACGTGCCGAATTGACTGAACGTACTGTTCAAAAACTACAATCAGAAGTTGATCGTCTTGAAGAAGATTTATCTGGTGAACGTGAAAAATCTCAACTACTACAAGAAGAAGTGGAAACAACATTAAAAGATATTCAGGCTATTTAATGATTACATTTCAATTACCTGCCATTCACCGCCACCACCACCACCACCACCTTAAATTACACATTACTTTTTCACAAATTAAAATGAATCAATCAATCATTTGGAAGACAGGATAAAGGTGAAACCGTAGCTTGAACATATAAAATTATTATTCATTCCGGCAATTTTTGGAACAAAAAAAAAACATGAAACTTTACCACATTCTCGACATTGTAACATTTCCAGAATGACAAACAAACAAAAAAAATTTGGACCAAGAAAAATTTTTATCAATCTCATGATTTCAACACATACACACCCACACACAAAAAAAAAAAAATTACTATCGATATCTATATTCCTTCATCATCGACTTTCAACAATCGATATTCCAAAATTTTTTCCCACATATTTATTATTATTTTCCCGGTTAATATTATTTGTTTATTTTAGAATTGACAAATGAAAAAAAAAAAAATTTTTTTGATGGATAAATAAAATAAATGAATTGATTAATGTATTCATTTCAATATTATCTTATCTTCCACGAAAACTACGACCTCTAGATCCTCTTCCACCACCACGAGATGAATATCCACCTCTTCCTGTTCCTCGACCACCACCACGAGATGAATGTCCACCTCTTCCTATTCCTCGACTACCACGACTATTATTGCCACCACGGCCACTACCTCCTCGTCCATTATAATGATGGGGATAACCGCCACGATCACCACCACTGCCACCATTTTGTGATTGATTAAAACTTCGTGAATAATTTTGTATAGCTTCAACGACGTTATGTAATTCAGGTGAACACCATAAACAACCAAGAAAATCGGTCATACCACTTTCTTTTCGTAATTTTTCCGATTGATATTTGATCATCAAATAATTTGATTGACATGATTGACATCGTTGACGATCGATAGCCACTTTGGATGCACCTTTAAATAATGTCATCGAAAATGTACAATTATTACAAAGAAATTTCCAATTAGGTCCAGATCCTTGATCCAATATTAATTGGCCACTGTAATTACATGCATGACATGGACCAAGTGTATTTCGATGCATAGAAAAACTACAATCATCATTTGTACAACGATAACAACCCATTGATTTGGCCATATCTTCAAATGGTGGATTATTGTAGCAATTGGGGCAGAATATAAAATTTTTTTGTCCACTAAAATAAAGCAGATCAAAATCATCAATGGGACATTGTACTTCTTTGTAGGTTTTAATGCTTCCATTGCCCGGTAGATTGTATGCTTCATTACAAATGGCACATACTAATCTTTCTGGTTTGGTTTCTATCAATTTCATATAACGTTTACATTTTCCACATCTAAAAAACAATAGAAAAAAAATCCATTATCAAAATAGATTGAAAAGATAGATTGATTTAACATACTTTGAAAATGGTTTACCCGTTTCAACTAAAGATGTAAAATTTTTGGAAAAAAGTTCATCCATAAGATGAATTGTTTCAATGAAACGTAAAAATTTTCCACGATAATAATCAATATTTTTCTGCAATACAATTTCAAAATCGGCTAAACCTTTGGCTATTTGATTCAATTCTTTTTCCATGTCTGAACGAATATTCGATGATACTAGATCATTATCGATCCTACGATAACCATGTACCAAAAGTATGCCCAATTTTGTCGGTATCAATTGTCGTCCGTTGGAAATTTTTACATAATTTCTTTGACAAATATTATTTATATGTGTCGGTATTGATGCATCTGTGCCGATACCATGTTTTTCCATCAATGAAATTAATTCCGCTTCAGATAGATAACTTGGTGCCTGCGTCACATGATTGTTGATTTTTATTTCTGATATCAGAATTTCATCATTTTCCTTCAATAGTGATGGTATAGATTTTTCATTCAATGCCGAACCTTTTGGTAGAAATTTTGTAAAACCAGGATGTTTTAATTCCGAACACGACGTTCGAAATGATTGAGATCCAATTTCAGCTATGACAGTGACAACATCATGAATCATATCGGTCGATAGTGTAGCCATAAAATGACGTGTAATGTATTCATAAACACGCCAACCATCACCACCAAGTTCTGCTGGCGTGGCCGCTTTCATTGGCGTAATCGGTGGATGATCACCGGCATCATGTCCAGAACGAGGTGGTGAAAATCCTTGGCTCAATAAATCACGAACATCAGGTCCCCAAACATTATTAAATCTTTGTGATTCTAATACGTGGGTAAAATCAAAATTTTTCGGATATAATGTTGTTTCTGTTCGAGGATAACTAATGTAACCCTGAGTATAAAGGCGTTCGGCAATCTGCATGGCTGTATGTGGACCAATACCAAGTTTAGCGCTAGCCACTTTCAATAATTCAACCGTATTCAATGCTTTTGGTTTACCAGTTGTTTTTGTTGTTTTTTTGATCGATACAATTTTTCCACGTCTAACATCTTTAAGTGAATTATGAATTTGTTTAATTTTTCCATTATTAAATTCTGGTTCACCCATCCATTCCATCGTAAGGTATTCACGAGAAAAATTGACAGGTGCAACAACGGCCGACATTGTCCAATATGGTTGTGGTTTAAATGATTCAATGTCATCATGACGTTGTACACAGAATCCTAAAGTTGGCACCTGACACGGACCATATGATACGAGCGTACTATCAAGATCACCATATTTTCCCTTTTCGGCAGAAATTATTATTGATTGATTTCTTTTTGAAATTAAAAAATTCTAACTCACTTGAAAATATCTAGTCTGATAACGTGTAAATGAGCAGCCAACAATTAAATCAAGTTCTTGTCGAGCAGTAACAGAAAGAGCTTCCAATTTGTTTGGTAGACGAAGATTATTAAATGCATCTAGAATATCTTTTTGTGTGATGGCACTGAAATATGCTCGAAAAACAGTCTGAAATAATTAGTGAATTTCATTGGATTCAAGTTTCACTTGAAAACATTTACCTGAGGATTTCGGAATGAAATGTTCATGACACCTGAAATGGTATCAATAACTTCGAAGCATATATTTTCACCTTCTTTGTCACAATCAAGCCACAGGACAAGAAATCTACAACCACGAGCCTTACACAAAAAAAATAATAAGCCAAATTTATGGTTATAATAATAACTCACCTCTTTCTGTAGAAAATTGACCAATTTCATTTTCGGATTAGCTTCGACACGTACAATTTTGGCTGAATATAATCCTACCGGATCACTGGTATCCCAATTCTTGAAACGTCTTTCAAAATCAGCCGTATAAACATGGCCACAAACCGATGTAAATTTGAACAAAACATTTTGTCCATAAAATATGCCTTTATATTCATGAACTGGACAAGCGGCATTTTTTCTTGTTGTCATATTTCCATTAGATAATATCTGCGCCAATGATTGAGCCAATGAAGGCTTCTCGGCAATCATCAATACCGACATTATCGTTTTGATTTGAAAAATAAAAATTCAAAATATTCTAAAACTTTAGATTTGAATTTCTAAATTCAAGTCATTTTTATTATTGTTACAACAACACAAAGAATCGAATACAACTATTGATATCCAAGTGATCATTGTTGTGTGTAAATTGTGTGTGTGTGTATCATGTGGTGTTCTGTGTTGTAAAGAATTAAAATTCTTCAAAAGATTTTTTTTTTTTTTTTTTTGACGATGAATTCTTCAAGATTTCTTAGGTTTGAATGACCATTCTATTATTAATTATTTTAATTAATTTTTTTTATTATTATTAAAGGCTTGCTTCATCATCGTCGGCAAAGTATGGCCATTTTATGACAACAATATCACCGAAAATTACTAGGAAACCATTGGCTTTGATTGTATCGGCTACAAATGAAAATTTATCAAAACAAATTATTCGATTACCGGAAAAACACCGTGAAACTTTTGCCGGCGATAATGGAGCTGAGAATAATAAATTGCCTATATTAGATTTCCATCCATCTACTCACCCTTTATATTGTGCTGCATTATCATTACATTTGATGATCAATTCAAATGCTACGATTTCAATTGAAAATTTCATAAATCCATTGATTACTTGGAATCCTAAATATAATAATGATAAAATTATAATTCAATCACCATTTTCTAAACAAAATGAACCAATTATTTGTCCAACAACGATGAATAATGTATCAACAGAAAAACGTGCCGATTATTATAAACACAAAGATCCGAATCGTTTCACTCATCTAACCTGGGTACGACATCGTAAAATGAAAAAACATCAACGAAAAAAATGGCGAAAAAAGAATTTAGCCATGATTAAACGTCGTATACTTGAAAGAAATATTGCCAAGGAAAAACAATTTCGTGCCGAAATTTTGGCACAAATCAAAGAAGCCGAAGAATTTGATCCACAATCATATGTACAGAATATTTTGTATACAATCGATAATGTTCCACAGGCCGAAACAAAACAACAAAGATATGAACGTTATATGGATTTGATACGAAAAAATCGTCAACAAACACATCTTACTATGCCTAAATTTGAAAAAATTGATTGAGAAAAAAAAATATTTGTTTGTAATTAAATAAAAAAAAAATTACTAGTTAATCCAATTTTCGCTATAATATATATCGTTTCATGCACAGACACATATTTTCACTCACTTCAAAAACCTTTCACCGACAGATGGCGCTGAAAGCATTCTCAAAAAGCACTGCTCAAAGGCATTTCCTACTGTTGGATGTATACATACAGACACTAATTGGCTTACTCTTTTATATATAGTATGATGATAAATATGATGATCATTCAAAATTCAAAAAAAAACACGAAAAGTGTTATAGCGAATCATACAGCGTTAAGCGAGTTTTTAGCCCTTAATATAGAATGTAACATTGTTAAAAAAACAGCGTTATATCGAATCAGCACTAAACGGGGTTTAACTGTACTTGAGTGGTATGTGTACGCGATGGTTGGCACATACTATATTTTAATATAAAAATACTCGCGGTAATATCCAACAATATATCAGAACGATTATCAGTCATAACGATTTTTAAATGTTTTTTTTTGATAAAAAAAATAATATTTTCGTATGGAACTAAAGAGCCGCATCTTCACATCCAAAGAGCCGCAGGTTGCCGACCTCTGTCCTAGACTAATTAAAGGACCTTGGACACCAAAAGTAATAATCACAAATTTTACTTATTTCAATAATTTAATTGTGTTTTGTAGGAGGATGAAAAAATCGTGGAATTGGTCAAAAAATATGGCCCAAAAAAATGGACAATCATAGCGAAATATTTGGACGGTCGAATCGGTAAACAATGTCGTGAAAGGTGGCATAATCATCTGAATCCCGATATTGTGAAATCTGCATGGACTGATCAGGAAGAACGAACGATCATACAAGCACATACTATACATGGCAATCAATGGGCAAAGATTGCCAAGCTATTACCCGGTCGAACTGATAATGCAATCAAAAATCATTGGAATTCTACATTGAAACGTAAAGCTCAAGCTATGAAAGAAGGTATCCCATTTGCCGAATTCAAGAAACGTATTAAAAAGAAAAAGACTTCAACTTTAACAACAACAACAACAACTAGTCCTATGGTAATAAACACTATTCTTAAATCGATAAAAACTAATCAGCTGTTTATTTTTTCGGCAGAAAAAAGTCGTCACATCAACGTTGATTTATTCGATCACAAATGTGCCGAATAACAACAACAATAATGAAACAAACGCTGTAAATAGTACGTCAAATACCGACGACGATTTAAATGATTTTAGCGATCTTTTCGATTCGAGCCAAAGAGAAATGCTTGAATGTGAACTATCCGAAATACAGGATGTTAATGATCTTGTTTCAGCCATCAAATCATCACCATTACGTAGTTTGATGATTTCACCCACTAAAAATTCAACCCTGATCAATGAAGATGATCATCAACAACGAATCAACACTGATGCTAGCTGCTATATTGATGCATTCAGTAGTGGATATCAAACACAGCCAGACATGTCGAATGTTTCATCATTCATTTCGCCAATCAAAATGAATATGACTGATAATGGTGAACATCAATCGTCAGGAAAAAAACCATTCACTCCGTTACAATTTGATACGCCCATATCATCTAAAGTTATTACGAATTCAATATCAACACCATACCTCTATACACCACCATCACAATCGGATCATTCGATTATGATGATTAAATCGAAAAATAAAGAGGTAACCTTCATGTGTGTGGTTCCATTTTCTTGTTTAATTCTGTAATTATTTTAGAATGTTTCACCTTTAAAAACAACGATGAATCATGGTCGATTAAATCGAAATAAACAGTATGCAATGATGGATGTAATGCTAAGTAACAGTAGCAACCCATTCATCAATTCAGGTGTTCGTTCGCCGACCACAGAAACGAATGAAAAAATACAAATCGAATCGAATAGCGAGGAAATTTTATTTGAAACACCGGTAAGATTTTTCCATAATAATATATTCTAATTCTGATTGACATGACCACCATTTGTTCAGAGTAAATCATTCATTCAGGATGATCAATTATTCTCGCCACAATCATCATTCGTCATATCGACAATATCACCCAATAAATGTATGTCACCCGGTGTGGGAACATTCTTGAAAAAGCAACCAGCAGTATTAACAGTCAACAAGAATATCCTCCATACATCACCAACAGTAGCCAATAATAATAACAATGGTATTATTAGTCAAATGGGACCACCACCATCATCATCATTGATTGGCAATAAAACAGAAGGTCAATTGAACAGTAGTACACCATACTCGATGGCTATCGATAACAATAATGCATCGATAATGGACAATGGACATAATGATGGTTATATACCATTGACACCAATGTCTAATATTTCTGTGATATCCAATCCATTCGAATCCAATAATCAAGATATTGTAAGTATCAACACATTCATCATTTCATCAATAATTAACCATTTTTCGATTCAAATCTTTGATTTATTTTAAACGTTATGCTTTTAATTTTTTTCTCAATTTTATTATACAACAAACACTTTAGTCATATATAAATAATCAAATGCATAGTGTTGGGGAAGGGTTAGCAGCCAAACAATTATTGGAACATCATAATAATGTTCCAATGTCATTGCCATTGACAAACGATAATGATTCATTTAATAATGACTATAATTATAATTATGTAATATCTGATGATGATAGTAGCAATAATGACAACAGCCAATAATAACATAAATACAGATAGTTTCAATACAATCCATTATAATAATAATAATACAACAACCCTATTGACCAATCAAAACCATGATCAAATTAGATTAATCAAATCTACAACGACATCATTGAATGGACAATCCATTGATTGTAAGTTTTGGTTTTTTCTTGTTTTTGTTTTGTTTCGGCACCAGCAATATATATCAGTTTTGTTTTTATTTTTGCACAATCACACACATTGAATTGTCCTTTCAATGCACACAAGGGTTGCACATTCTAATTTTTGATCGGTTTTCAAGCAAACTTGATGATGATTCCTTTCCTCAACACTATGTATCCAGACAAAAAAGTTTCATTTCCTTCACCATAAGTGTCTTGCTTTTTTGCACTGCATGTCTCACCTGTATGTTCAATTAGAGATGATTCTAACTATTGATCTATTCTCATCATTAAATAGACGCAAAACGTGAATCAATCAGTGGAACCAAATACATCGACAATAATTACATTGACAATGCCATCATCGTCAGTGGACACAACAGCTTATTACCCCATACAATTGGTCAATATGGGACCGGAAATCCCATTTCAAACTGCAGCAATACCAGAATCGGACACAACAACCGAACCTCGACCAAAGAAGCCATTGTACATCTTACCAAAGATGACCAATACTACCAGCAGCGAAACAGCAGCAACATTCACAAGAACATTACCGAGCAGAGTTCGTCGTCGACGAAAACTTCGTACGACAAGATCTCGAATGCGTCTTTTTTCCTCGAACCAAGTCAATTCGGAATCAGAAACAACCATGGCAATCAGTCCGATCACATCGGACAACGAATCGAACATGGAACTGAAACATTCCAGCAATATTGTGGCCAACAACAACCAATGGTTTTTATTGGCAACCGGACAAACAGCCGCACAGAAAGAGGTGACGAAACAAGCGCGAATTTTTCTTCAATCGAAAAACAATGTTCCTCTTCATTGTTTACCGGAACAACGACGTACACCGATCGCTCCCTTCTTCGTATGAACTGTCACAACAAAAAACAGTAAAATCATTCGATAATAATTATCAACTGACGAAATACATTTGAAATTTTCAAATGAATCACTCGAATCGATTTTTTTACTTTGAATTAATCACACATCAAACAAACTTTGAAGAATATTTTTCTCTTGTTTTTTTCATTATATATTGTTTTCATATTTTTTTCTTGCCCATTTTTTTAAACATTCTTTACCTTTAATAAAAACGAAATTCTTTTCAAATTTTCGATAAAATCCTGGTTCATATGGTGAAAGTTATTCAACCATCATATGAATGCACGCAGTTAGTAATTCTAAACATTGTTTTGCTGATTGAAAAAAACAAATGAAATTTTTTTTTTATTTTGATGAAATTAATCAAATCAAAATATATATTGTATACACGAAAACTAAAATATGGAATTTGAAGTTATTTTTAGAAGCAACGATTTCTATTGTGATTATTAATAATTAAACAATTTTGAGCAGCAATAAATTCACTTTCACGTGTGTTATCTACAACACATCGTTGTTGTTTAGATTTCCAAATAATTGGTCAATTTAACCAAACCAAATAGCCAGTTGTAGAGTTACGATTTTCTCGATCACCACCAAGATCAGCATCGGAATAAGCACTGAACGATAAAGATGAAGAACCACCAAATTTTAGCTTATAATCAATAGTACCTTTTAAATACGTTTGACAATTTTGATTGTTGTACTATTGGGCTTTTCCAGAAATAGAATATCTGGTCTATAGAAATTCTACCCATTTGGGAAAAATAGGAAATAATCAAAAATGATTTACTCAATATCCAGTCAATAAACAGCGTTACCATACAAATCCACTGATGATGATGATGACGATGATGTGCATGCATGCTGCAGCAAAATATATATGGGAACAAAGTTTATGAATGACACAAAAACCACGAAAAAATTTACTTCCACATTTAAAACAACACACACACACCAAGAATCCACACTCGTGTTCTCTCTTTCGATCAACTCGGTTGATTTTCATTGTTTAAATATGTCAATAAATTTTTTTCAATCATCCGGAGTACATTCTTTACCAATCAATCAGAATGTCAAATAATTACATGAATATTGCTTATTCGATAGCAAATTCCCATCAAGAATTTCAGGCACTGGACTTCATAAAAACCAGGCATGTTAAATGAAATGTACAATGTTTGATATATTCAATATATCCTTTTTTATTTTTATTTTAGTTAATAATGATTGTGAATTATTATATTCCATTTTTTTGTGTTTGTTCATAGGTTTCAACAATATTTCTACCTCATTCTTATGATGATTGTGACAATGGTTTGATTAAAAATACTTGAAAAAAAGTTTTAAAGAATACTTTTATAAATAATAATTTTTGCTACCAATATATAAACTTTACAAAATATTAATTTCTTTAGCCTCTACAAAGAAGAATTGGCCAAACTATCAAAGAAAAAAAAATATAAAAGCCCGTATGGCATGAAGCGAAAATCATGGTGTGAACATATTTCAAATTTCACCACCAGACCTATTTTCCATGATATCGTGGAAGGGTTTAGGCCCAAAATTTCATATAAATTGCTGAAATCAGCATCTGTGTCTAGAACACAAATCAAAAATAAAATGAAACAGATCAACTGGATCAACTGTCCCGTCAAAGTCAAATAGGAATTTTCCTTGAAGGGTAAAGGAATCCAAGTATGTTCTAAGATAAATTATTGGAACGAAAATTGAATACAATTCAAATATCGAAAAGTAATATTGGCTTAATTTGTCTAAAAAAATCTGTTAATCGTGGACAATGGTAAAAAGAAGAGGATAATAAATTGAAACGATTAGTGGAAAAATATAATGAAGATTAGTATCAAGTTGCGACACATTTTTCCGATCGTTCCGATGTTCAATGTGAACAACGTTGGTGTAAATTTACGAAAAGAAAAGTCTGAAAGTTTGAAAATCATTCGGAAAGACATTTTTTTTGGATCTGAAAATGTCTGAGGACGTCTGAATCTGAAAATCGGTTCAAATAATTATGAAAATCCTTTATTATGGCTTAAAAAATCTGAACACACTTTGTATACAATTAATTATAATTATTATTTTTTTTTATTAATTATAATGTTGCAAATTATCTTGAGAATAAATTAAATATATCATATATGTTTTGGTTGTGTATTCAATTAGTGAATTAAAATTGATTGATTGATTGATTGATTGATGATTATTTACCAAACAATTGAAAAAACCGGATACTGATATAAAAACAATATTATTTATGTGTTGAATAATAATTTTAATAATCATAGATATAAACATATGGTAAAACAACACGAAAAAGGTGATGATGATGATTATATTTTTTTCGAACGGGATTTCTTTCTGTTTTTTCATTTTCGTTGTTTAAAATGATATAAGAATTGTTACTGGAATATAGAAATGAGAATAAATATATTTCATTAGATTTGTTTGAAAATATGATTTGTTGAATACCCTTACGTTAAATTCTGATGATAGTTTGTAACAAATTAGGTAATTGTTTGTTGATATTGGCTACGTGGGTAATCGAGAACCAGAATTGATTATTTCATGAGCCGATATGACATGTTCATAATAATTGATTAAAAGCTGAAATATCACAATTCGGGTATTTACAAATGTTTGTTGAAAATGTCAAATAAATAGTTGACCCCCGCTCATCGCAGAAATCTTGGAAAATGTTTTGATGCATGAAAAATGAATATAATATTTCTTGAATACTAAGTCTGGTTGCGCATTCCAAACCTAATACTCGAGAAGATCTGAAAAAATTGTGTCAGACAAATTATTAAGCAGAACCAATTAGTATGGGTTGGCGATAGAAGTTCGTTAATCCGGAGAACTTTATTTATGGCTATCTCTGATTAAACAAATTAAAACATTTTAATTAAACAAAAAGAGACTTTATTTAAACTTTTCATTGGGAATAAAAGTGTATTGTGTGTGTAAAACAAATGTGTAAAAGAAATGATGTAATGATGTTACAAGATGGATGATCATAAAATGATACCAGTCATTTTTGAAATCATTCGTGATGATAATTTCGAAATAATGAATGCCAGTTGTTTGAAATTTTCGTATCTTCCTCTTTCAACCATCCCTTCAAAACATCCAAAATCAAAAAATAAAAGAAATTCAAAGTCTAGACTTTTCATACTTCTGTTTTGAGATAATTGTGGCATCGCTTTAAGAACATCTTCTGGAAATTTAATCGAAGAAAGACGTTGATCCCAAATACTCAATTGTGTTTTGTTTAATTTCGATGCTTTTAATTCATTTTTTTCTTCACTTGTCATTGCTTGAAACCATCTTTTTGTAACCAAATCATCATCTATCCAGCGATTGATGATACTTTTCACCGTGCCCAAATATTGGGAGTGCATTGCTTCCGGTCAACAGATGATTGACATGTCTAGGTATGCTAATCTCATAAGCTGACAATTTCATTTGATGCCCATAGTTGGCTTTCCTCGATTATTGCTGGCAATGGTTTCGCCAGCTTATATTTGTCCGAAGTTCAAAATAAAGCCAGTTATTACAATGAAAACAACCAACAAGGTATAAAGTGGAAACATGTGCAAAAGATCAGACCAAGTTATCTTGTGTTTGCATGCATGCCGAACGTATACGTTGAAATGTTACGAAATTTAAAAATTCACAATAAAACCGTTATCAAAACAATTGAATTAATACAAAAATGTTCATTCGAATCATCAGCTTCAACGATATTTGCATTATCTACAAATATTAGAAATTCTGGCAGTGCTATTGCTGTCATACGAGTATCTGGTGATGAGACATTAAATGTGATCGATTCAATTACCAATGGTAAAGCCAATCATATACGTGCTAAACCTCGTCAAGCTTGTCTCAATGATTATGTTGATCCGAATACCAATGAACTAATTGATAAAGGAATGACATTATGGTTTCCACGGCCAAAAAGTTATACCGGTGAAGATCTTTGTGAATTTCATATACATGGATCAATGGCTGTCATAAGTAAAATGCTTACAGTCATTGGCAATATTCGTGGCTGTCGTTCAGCAAAAGAAGGTGAATTTACTCGCCGTGCTTTGATGAATGGAAAACTACAACTAATACAAGCGGAAGGTATTCGTGATCTAATTAATGCACGTACAGAAAATCAACGACGACGTGCACTTAGTGGCCTGTCCGGAATGTTACATTTGAAATTTAATCAATGGCGTGAACAAATAATTAAATTAATGGCTCATATGGAAGCGTTTATTGATTTCGGCGAAGAGGAAATGATCGGCGATGATGTAATGAAAGAATTGAATGTAAATATCTGTAATTTAAAAAAAGAAATCGATCAACATGTTGCCAATACTAAATTGAAAAGTGATTTCATCAAAGATGGATTACATGTGGCCATCATTGGTCAGGCTAATGTTGGCAAAAGTAGTCTCATCAATAAATTAAGTCTGTAAGATTTATGCAATCTGTTATATTCACGCTAATGATTTTTTTGCAGCCGAAAAAGATGTTTCAATAATCTCGCCAATTAGTGGAACCACTAGAGATGTGGTTGAAACATGGATGGATATTGATGGAAATTGTGTTTGTATAGCTGATACGGCCGGTATAAAAGATGCTGATCATTCTAATGTTGATCCAATCGAACGACAAGGAATTCAGAAAGCCATTCAAAGAGCCAAAGAATGTCATCTAATTATTATGGTAGTGGATGCTGACCAAGTTTATCGTCATAAAAAATTAATTATAAGTGATCATTTGAAGAAAATTATTGAAAAGAAATCTGAATCGGAATTATTATTTCTGGTAAACAAAATAGATCTGGTAGCCAATAGTGATAAACGTCAAGAATTGGCATCAATTTTGGCCAAAAATCAAATGTCAAAGCCAATCTATGTGAGTTGTATAAACAGCGAAGGATTCGATGATTTTATTCAACAATTCAAACAAAAAATTGAACATAATGTCGGCACGAATGAAGATTTGATTGCATTCAGCAATGAAAGACATGTAATGCATTTAACAGAAACATCTAAAGAATTGGCAATAACAATGAAAAATCTTGATAAAGATTTGGCCATCTCATCATTTCATATTCGTCAAGCATCATATCATATTGGATGTTTGACTGGTGATATTACCACTGAACATGTACTCGATGTATTATTCAAGGATTTTTGTATTGGAAAATAATTTTATTGGCTTGTATATATTAATAAAAATACAATTGATTGATTGATATTTACAGAAAATATTCGTGTTAAAAACTGAAAGACTGATTGTTTTGTTTTGGTTTTTTTGTTCATACATAAATTGAACCATCATTTGGTTTAAGATAACCAGTGGCAATAAGAATAACATCGATCAATGTCCATATGCCGAGGCCACCAAAACTAAACAATTTACCAATGCCTTCTTGCCAATTACCAAGATAGAAACGATCCACACCAAAGCCACCAAGTGTAATGCTTAACATTAAAGCCGTTGACCATTTATAGCCAGATTGATATTCACATCTAGTGAATTTATAAAATTTTCTATGACCTAAACAAAGTACATCATCACGAACTGTACACATTGTTTTTATACGTGTATTCAATTGACATGGAAATTGTGGCCGACATTGATAAAGATCCGGTGGTAATTGATAACAGAATGAACAATGGTATGTTTTCGTAAATGGTTTATCATAATCCTTGTATGTGAATTGAGTAAACAAAAAAAAATTGAAACAAAAAAAAATGAACCAAAATCAAAAAATCATAAATCTCTTACCAAACAATTTGAATCATTCAACACTATACAGGTAGTGTTCTGTTGGGTACCATAAACACAAGAATAATTAAAATGACATTTAAAACAATCTGGTTTTAGATCCGAACATTGTGGTGTTGAGCATTTCATTGATTCTTTTTCATCAATAGCAAGCATATTCATGGCAGAAATATCATCATCACCATTGGTATGTACACGAATTAAAGCAATTAAAAGACAAAAAATTAAATTAATTAATAATCTATAAATGAATTTCATATTGATCAATCAAAAAAATAAAAAATGAAAATGAAATGAAAATAAAAATGAAAAATTCGAATCAATCAAAACAATTTGATAGAAATTTTTCTTTTCTCAAAAGCAAAGACCATTCATATACAATGTGTATAATTGAATTCGAAACAAAAAAAAACAAAAATCTCGTAAAACTTGAAATTTTTTTTTCAATTTTATTTTTATATATGAATTATTAAATGATGATGATAATAATGATGAAAATCATCTTTGGTGGTGGTGGTGGTTTATATGATGAATTCATCTCATTTATGTGTGTAAAATTATGGATGAATATAATGGATAAAATTGTGTGTGTTTGTGTTTTTTGTTTAAATGACCAGAAAATACATTTGGGTTATTATTCCGGTGTGATTTTATTACCATTCTTTTTGTTAGAATTTTTCTTCACTTTATTCACATTATTCTTGTTGTTTTTATTGATGTTGTTGTTGTTATTGCCACTGTTATTCGAACAAGGTTTAACAACATTTTTTACCGGTTCACAATCATGACTATTTGGTGTTTCTGGATTCGTAGCCAATGTAAGTGTTTTATTTTTCAATCCTTTTTCACATGTTGACCATTCGGTTTTATTATAGGTACATTCTAATTGAAAAAAAATCAATATAAAGTTTGACAAAAAAAAAAAAAAACAGGACAATGGCACACTTACGTTTTCGACATGATTTATTTACGACTTTTTCCGCTTTACAATGCGATGATGATATATCCGTTCGAATTATATCGATACGTTCTCTCATACCATTGACACAATCTGACCATGCACCTTTAATATATCTACATTCTAAACACACATATACACGTGTATTTGGAAAATAAATCAAGAGAAAAAAATCGAAATGTTAAAATATCGACAATGATCAATTTTAACCTCGAATTTCATGAACAAAACCGGAAATCAATGTCATGAAAACAAAAACACATACGTTTTTTACATGGTCGTTCCATATGTTTTTCTTTTATACAATCAGGTAAATGAGCTTTATATGTTTTTAGCCGTAATATTCGTTTTTGTATTCCTTAAAATTTATTTAGAAAATTGTTCAATGAACCATGATTATGATGATGATGATGATGATAATCTACTTACCAGTATCCGGATCACAATCTAACCAACGGCCTTTTTCATATTTGCAATCTGAAACGAAAATAAAATTAATTATCTTTTAATTTCTATCTACAGAAATCATCGGATCAACAAATCATCAACTTACCTTTATGGCTTGAAACAATTTGAATCGATAACGACAATAGAATCTGTGCCACCAAACATAATACGTAAATCATCAATGTTGTTTTCATTTTGGATTTTGTTTTTTCTTGGAAAAAAATGAAAAAAACGACGACGACGACAACAACAACAACAACAACAACGAGGATACACAACAACGATGTTGGATAGATGATAGTAAAACTAAAAATGGCAACCAATGATTATCATCATCGTAAAATGGTGGTCATGTCAAATTTTTCAAAATAATCAAAAATGCCGAAAAAAAATGAAATATTCGAATGTCTCACACTATATGTTGTGTGTGTGTATATATATAGAGAGAGAGTGTGTGTATGTAGATTGGGATGGCCAAACAGAAAAAAAACTTTGAAGAGAGTGGTGCACATCCGACCGAATAAATAAACAAAACAAAACAAAGATGATGATGAAAATCTTCAAACAAACACAACCAGTGTTTTTTTGTCTAACAACAACAACAACAATCACGCGACTTTGACAAGATGTATTTATATCCAAACTAGAAAAAAAATCAGAAAAATTGGGATTGGTCTATTTGACCACGGCCTTCTGGATAATGGTTTCAATTCTATTCTATTTCATTTGTGCACATAAACATCATCATCATCATCATCATCGCCATCATATGATTGGATGAATTCATTTACGCAAAATAACCAAAATCTAGATCTAAATCAAGAAAAAAAATCTAGTCATTCGGTGCCAATCACACCAAATACACACACACATCAATGATGAAAAGCCGACGAAGAAGTAAGAAAAACAAACTTGATTTGAATCAATTAAGATTCATTTCACTATATATATTTATTACTGAATTAGTCAATAAATAAATGACACATCTGGCCAATGTATGTTTTCTTTTGAAGTAAAAAAGATGAAAAAAAACCAGCAGCAGCCACAACGACCATGATAAATTATCCATTTCCTCAATGTTTTTTTTTGTTGCCCCGATCAAAACAGCAGCAGCAGCAAAAAAAAACCAGATTCGTTTTTTATTCAAAGAAAAAAAAACTTGTCATTGAACCTTTGATGCTGGTAATGGTAATGATGATGATGATTATGATGATGATGGTATACCACTATAAATGAATAAATTACGAAATCATGATCATCACTATTTATTTATTTAGTTTTTTTTTTTTGATAATAAATGATAAAAAAATATAACGGAAGAACGTAATGAAGACAATGATGATGGGTCAATTAATGTTTATTAAGTTTGTTTTTCTTTTGCTTGTTTGTTTGTGTGTGTGTGGGTGTGGAAAAGTGAAATTGAATGAAACACAAAATATTTACATACACACATGCACACACACACACACAGAACATGAATCAAAGAATGAAACAAGAATTTGCACTATTTATGGGTGAAAAAAAAGTTCTGTTTAAAATCAAATAATCAAAGAAATTGGGCTAAAAAAAAATTTTTTTTGAAAGGAAGAAGCAACCATCACACACACACACACACACACAACCAAAACAACAACAACAAAGATATTCCTGGATAAAAAAGAATTGAAATTGTTATTATTTACAAACAAATTGTTGTTCTAGAATCTATAGATTTTTTTGTGTGTTTTCTATGTAAATAAATAGTAATTGATTAATATGAAAATATGAAAATACCTGGCAGATGATTTATGTGTTTTTTTTGTTGTTGTTGTTGTTTGACATGTTTGTGTATAAATATAGGAAGATTTGTTCACAAATACGTGTTTGTTTCATCTAAATCAAGTTTCAACAGTAGGCATATTTATTGATGATGGTTTTTTTGTTGGTGATTGTTGCTGTGTTGATGATGATCCATGATTGTCATCATTATTATTATGAATTTCTGATTGATTATTGCTACTACTAGTATATGGAACGAATATTCTTATCTTTGATGGTGATTGTTTTTTCGGTGATGATAATGATGGTGGTTTATTAGTATTATTTGGACTGATATGATTGCCATTGTTTGTTGCTGTTGTTGTTGTTGTTGTTACTATTGTAGATTCCATCATTGAATCATTATTTATTTGATGATGATGATGATGTTGTTGTTGTTCACCAACTGGTATGCTAATTTTGGTCATTTTTGATGTTTCAATCATTGTTATTGATTTATCATCATTTTGATTATGATGTTTATGATGGTGATGATGTTGGTGGTGATGATGATGATGAGGATGATGATGAATATGAGAATTCATTATGGGTGATGGTGTTGAATGACTACGTAAATACTGTGATGTTGTGGTGGTCACCGTATGGCCACTACTACTATTATTATGATTATCATCATTATCGATAATCACTTTGGTTGTTGTCATTTTTTCATTCGATGATGATTCATTTATGTTAAAATTTTTCAATATTTTAATCGCCTCTTCTGTACTAGATGGCATTGTTGAATGAATTTTCATATCACAATTTGTTCGCAATGGTGATGATGAATGTTGAATATTTTGACGAGTAGTTGATGTTATTATACGTTTATATGTTGATGAATTATTCTTGAATGTCGGTATGGTTCCATTATTATCATTGATGATAATTTTTTTAATATTTTCACGATTTCTTTGATTAATAGATGAAATGAATAAATTTGCACTATTCAATTTTTCATCTAGATCGGCACTCAAATGATTGATTTCATTTTCAATTTCATCTATGGATTTTTCTCTTGACGATAACGATGATGATTGTGATGGTGATTGTCTATGATTATTTTGTTCATCATTTAATGAACGATTCGATGAATTAGGTCGATTTAAATCAGGCGATATATTGGATAATGATTTGTTCGATTGTCGATGTGGTTGTGTTGATGTTGAATGATTCGACATACGACTGGAAAGTTTAGCTGCTTCAATACTTTCATTGATGGATACATTATCGTATAGTGAAATTGATCTATATAAAAAAAAATCATGAATTCGATCAATTCACATGGAAAAAAAACTTGACACACTTACCCAACATCTTCACGGCTACCACTGGTACGGCTAGTACAAACCGATGAAACATCATTACCTTTCAATCGTACACTACCGGCAATGCTTTGATCATCGAAACCCATACGTTCAGTGGCAATTATGCCGAATGGCCGTGATGGAAATTCACTATCCGATGGTCTTTCAGGTGAAAGCATTTTATATTTCCTATATTTTAAAATGATAAAGAGATAATCAATAATTGAAACAAAAAAAAATAAAATCCCAATTTGAATCGATTTATATATTTACTTTAATTCTTGCACTGATTGTTGTAATGCCTGTATAGCTGAATCATCATGATAACCAAAATCTTTTTCCAATTCAATTTGTAAAAATTCAATCGTTTCTTCCATTGATTTTCTCAATATAGATCCTATTCATTCATTTTGAAAATCATTATGGTCAAAATTATCAATCAATTGGGCTCATAAATAATTAATCAAATTACAAATTATATATATGATGACATACTTTTATGTAATTTGAGCAATGTATAGCTCATACCGGTTAAAATGATTTCACCATCAAGTAAAAATACATCCCATAGCCTGGTGAAGGAGTGAGAAGAGAAGAGATAAAAAAAATGCAGTTTTTTTGGGCAAAATCTTTTTCGATAAAATACCTTAATGTCAATGAAAATGGTACACGATCAAGGAAGCATTGAAAAAACCACTTTAACGTATATAAAGTCGAATCAATGTCATACTTCTATGGTTCACAAAGATAGGAAACAAAAAAAAAAATAAAAAATGAAAAAAAAAATCTTGCTACCACAAACCTTGAAATGTTTCCAAACTTTTGGTAAAAATTTATTGATAATTTTATCATGATGTTTAGCGAAACGTAATAATTTTGGAAAGCCCGGTATAAAAAATCCATGCATAGCATGTCTTTCGTTTGACATCAAAGCTGATAATGACCAGAATGCATCCTTAATTAAAACAGGAAAAAATCAATTAAATTGAAAGGGCAACAACAACAACAAAAAAACATTCTACCTCCTCATCCATGTACATTAATAATAGTGCGGCAATTTGTGACATTCCTTGACAATAGCCAATTTCCTATAAAAAGAAATTTTTTTTTTTTTTTTTTGTTAACTTTAAAAATCATTATTATTAAACTAGTGTTATTATACATACAGAATTATAAACACTATAAGCGACCAATACTTTGAACAACATTTGTTGTTTTGTATTATAACGTTCACGAAACATAATATGTTTACGATACGTTCGATTAACATCGAGGTCAATTTGACGAATATCTTTTGAGTATTGAAAACCACAATCTAACATTTCTTCATATTTTCCTAAATTTTACAATTGGACCAAAATGACAGAAAACATCAATCAAATTTCATTAGATAATAAATTGTGAAATTGTGTACCTGATTGTTCTTGTTTCAATTGTTGTATGTTTAATAAACGTCCCCATACTTCACCACGTAATGCATTTGGAATTCCTTTATATGTACGTGATTTAATTTTCTCTGAATCTGGATAATACTGGTCCCATTGTTTGAGCATTTTAAGCCATTTATTTAAACGACTATTTTCTTGTAGTTTGAGCTTTTTTTTTGAAAAGAATAAATTGTTGGATTAGTCAAAAATTCAAACACAGACACAAGGCCACTTACTTTGGTTTCATATTCAGGTAATCGATCTGGAAGTCGTTCGGCACTGGTAATGGCAAAAATGAATGAATGAATAATCAAAATGATGGTCATTGATCAAATCACTTACTGTATAAAACCATAACGATCAGTTGCATGATAAATATCATAATCTGGATCTTCCCATGCATTAATTTCATCTTTATCTAATTTATCACGACCTTTACGATATTTTTCGATTATAATTTCACGTTCATCTTTATCATCCATCATCTTATAGCGTTGTTGTTGTTGTTGTTGTGTAATTTATAATTAGAAAAAAAAAATTTTGTTTGCTACAAAAATAAACGCCACAAAACAAAAATAAACAAACAAACAATATAATGACACAAAAGGATTTAATGTGTGTGGGTGTGTGATTTTTCTGATGGTGGTGATATGAAAAAAAATTACACTACAAACACATTATCCAAATGATGATGATCAGATGATGGGCAATGATTTGATTTTGATGTGATAATAACAAATCGACAAATTCTGGAATGTAAAAAATAAACACAATGATGATGATGAACGACATTTAACAAATCAAAATCGAATGTTTTGTTTTGTTTTGTTTGATTGTTGACAATTTTTTTTGCAATGAGCAGCAGTAGCAACAGCAGCAGCAGCCGGTTAAGTTTTTTTTGATATGAATGATAATTTGTTTCAACAATTTGTTTATTTCTTGAAAATTTCGAATCAATTTCGATGGAAAATCTCACTATGCATGCATGTGTGTATTTTACACACAATTCCTAATTTTGACAGAAAAATGAATGATGAAACAATAAATTCGAAATCATCATCATCATCATTGTCGTCGTCGTCGTTGTTGTTGGTTGAACAGAATTCATTTAATATATGTAAAAATTTTTTTTTCAATCTAAATCATGTATATATCAAACCGTTTTTATTCGATGATGATGATGATTATTATTGAGAGATACACCTACTGAATTGATGTATGTATTCACCAACTATAAAAATATAAATCATACACACACAAAAACTACACAATGAAATGATTGCAATCAGAGAGAGAGAAAAAAAAAATTGTAGTAGGATGATAGTAAATAACGATAGCAAAAGAAATGGGATATTGTTGTATTTAGTAGTGAGAGAGAGCAAGAGAGAGAGAAAAACACATCGAGAGCAGAGATTTTTGCAACAAAATATCATTAACACACACACAAACAATCCGCATCACATCCAAAATAACAACATCAGTTGGTTAGTTAAATCATAATAATCATCGACAACATCGACAACAACAACAACAACAAGAAACGAAATCAAAATATCCAAATCGATAAATTGGGATTTTGTTTGTGTTTGTTTGTGATGGCTTTTCTGGAGATGATAGATGTGCGTGTAACAAACACACAAAACATACACACATATACACACACAAATGAATACATTCGATTTTGTTTCCCGTAAAGTTTCCTGAATTAGATTGTAGATGGATCCATTGGATAATTTTTGGGTGAACAAAAAGTTTTTCTGTTCCCATTTTTTTACATTCGTGAGAATTTTATTCATTTTTTTTCGTTCGAAAAACATGACGTTGTTTTGTTGTTTGTTGCTAATCAATCGAATTGATTAATGGATTGATATTGTTGATGCTGGAGGAAGAAAATTAAACATGACATGACATCATTATCGTGAGCAACCACCACCACCATCATCATCATTTGAAAAAAGGCAAAAAAAACTTGGTCTTATCTTTATGTTTTTGTTTTTATTTTTTTTGTCAAATTGAAACTTTTGCTCATCATCGATTTTTTTCTGGTTGGTCTGAGATCATCATTTATATATAAATAAACGAAAAAATGGATTCCAAGAAAAAAGAAAACGTCGTTCTTACAGGTAAAAAAAATTGGAATGAGTAAATGAATTTTTAAATAAATTTTTTCTTCATTGATCAAGGATTCGGTCTATTTCGTACATATACAATGAATCCATCGTGGGAGGCTGTTCGATTGATTGATGAACAAAAATTTGATTGTTCGAATATTGAATTGGTCAAAATACAAATTCCTGTTGCATATGATGAAGTTGAAAAATGTGTAAAAGAAATATGGAAAAAATATCAACCAAAATTAGTGATCCATTGTGGTGTATCAAGTATGGCAAGGAATTGTTTACATTTAGAAAAACGTGCCGTAATCAATAAGGAACGTTATTGTCAACCAGATATTATGTCATGTTTGCCAAAATGTTGTCCAAATGATCATGTGGATCCATCACCAAAACCATTGGATTATGTTTGTACTGAAATGCATCTAGAATCAATACGTGATGAAATCAATAAACATTATTATGATGGCCACATAATGATTCCGGCTAAAATATCCGATTTTGCTGGTGAATTTCTTTGTGAATTTATTTACCGTTGTTCATTACAATATGATTGCCATAGAACATTATTCATTCATGTACCAGATATTAATCGAGATTTATCGATTGAAGATATTGCAAAATGTTTAGAATTGATTATTCATTTAGCATTGAAACAATTGGATTCTGGATCTTCTGGATTCTATTCATCCAAAAGCAACAAACAATCGAGAATTCAATCGAATGCAATTGATCGATGAATGAATTGTAATTGTAATTTAATTTAATTTAATTTTTTTTAAAATAAAAGGTGTGTATGAAATAATTGAAAATTTATATAATAAAAAAATAGTCTGAAGAATCAATTTGAAGAAGTATGATAAATAAATGTATGATGAAATCAAAGTTTTTGTCTGTTTCAGTCAAAATAATAATGATGATGATGATGATGATTAAGATTAAAATTTTACCGGGAATTTTAAAAAATCGGTTTTTCTGTTCTCTTTAATACTTTTGGGGGAATGTGTGTGTGTGTGTGTGTTTGTTGTGTTGTCGTTGTGCTATTATTATCGGGTATTATTTGTTTAATAATAATCAACATTGAGGATCGATATAATAATTTGATTATGATCGACAATGTTCATTCATTCATAAATTCATTGAATTAATTGATTGTATGATATTCTCTTTGATTGGTTGATAATAATCTCGTTGAAATATCACCATTTCAGGCAGTTTACGTAAACCAATAAACATTTCTGTATCGGTTTCAAGTATGATGATTAAAAATCCAGTAATCAATATGAATATAATCAATGCACTTAATAATGATGTGAATAACATTATGCATAATTTTTTGCCACATGATATTTTTGATGTTTTTTGTCGTTTTGTCAATTGATTTAATTTATCCATATTTTTCATGTTGTTGTTGTTGTTGTTGTTGTTGTTGCTGATGCTACTACTGTTATTATTATTATTATTATTGATGATGATATTGTTATTTTTCGATTCATCATCATTTTTATTTAAATGTTTCATATGTTTACCAGTAGCAGTAGTCATATATGGCTGTTGATATGTTGATGGTGTTTGATCAACAATTTCGCTTACTTGTTCTAATGTTTCATCTGAATCATTTGTTGTTGTTTCTTCTTCAGAACTTTTCTGTTGTTGTTGTTGTTGTAGTTGTTGATGTATGGATGTTGATAATTGTGATGGTGATGATCGTACCATTGGTGTTTCAAATGATATTGTATTTGGTTCATCACCAGTTGGCGTTACATCTGGCCGCATATCAAATTCAGTTGGTAAACATGGATTTGTTGTTGATGATAATCCAATAATACGTTGTTGTAATGATGGATGATTATTTTCATAATCTTCATTCATTGGTTCAACAATCATTGAACAATTTGGTTGAAATGTACCATCTTTATGGCTACCATAATTTTCTGGTTCCGATACTATTGAATAATTTAGATAAGGATCTAAAATTTGTAAATAAAAAATAAAAACAAAACAGATGCAATAAATATAAATCCATTATTATAAATTCATCACAAAACAATTACTTTTATCATCATTAAAACTTGATTGAAATTTATTTGGTGATCCATCATCCGGTAATGGTGCCGTATTTGAACGGCCAAATGAACGCATAGACATTGGCATCGTATTCATTGAATGACGACGATTTATTGTCGATGTTGCCGTTGCCGTTGTTGTTGTTGTTGTTGCAGGTAGTTTTTTCATATCTTCAATAATTTCTCTTTCAACACGGCCACTTTGAAATTGATAAAAAAAAACGAATAAAAAACGGAAATTTGCAATAAAAAAAACCTACCTATAACGAAGTTTACATTGTTTGGAAAATAAACCACCACCAGTCGTTATGGTTGGAATATCATCCGATGAATTCATTGTGAAAAAATATCGTTGTTCAACGGCTGAACGCCATAAATTCTGACATGCAGAAACATTTGGACATTTAAATCCAACAAGATTCTTTTTCTTTATAAGAGAAAAAAAATGAAAATTGATTTAAAATGAAAATGAATGGAAATTGCATTACTACTTACACCGCCAGAATAATGATGAAGAATGAACATTTTACCTTCATAGGTAATTTTTTGCAATTCATTCCATTTAAAATGATATACTTTTTTGTTGCCTTGAAAACTTAATATACCGGAATGATTGATACCAATTAAGTATTGGATTTTTTTATGATCTTTCACTGGATATGGATCAATACCATATGTTTCTAATTTGGATGCACGTTCAAGAAATTGTAGTTCAGCATCTGCAGGTGTTAATGATTTCATTTCATTCATATGTATCTCGATGGTTTCCAATTCAATTTTTTCATTCTGATTCGGTATAATTTTGAATGTTGATACATAATTTTCTTTATGTTCAGCATCATTATAATCACCTAATTCAGCTATAAATATATATCATTCAACAGAATTAGAGAATTTCGAAAAAAAAATTCCAATTGTAATGAATAAATAAACACATACATTGTACAACACAAGCCATCAAATAGATTGCATCGGCAGGAAGACAATAAAGACGACGATTCAATAAATCACGTCGTAATTGTAGATAAAGATAATAACGTGTTAGCTCATCTTTCAATAATATCGGATTAGCCGGATAAAATTTGACACGAAAACAGAATATGATTGGATTTAGATTTTTAACTTGTTTCAATATCGAACGTGTTGGATCTAGCCATACCTTTTTGTTTTGTTTTGGGAGAGAGAGAGAGAGAGGTAGAATTTCATATTATCAAAACATGAACAAACGTATATATCTCGTATACACATACCCTTAGATTATTGGCATCAACAAAACGTAAACCAAAGTAATCTTTTTCCAAAAGATTTAATGTTTTAAATGCATAATCCAACAGAAATTGACCTTTTTGTTCACGCTAAATGGGTGGAATAAAAATTGAATTTTGAAATTTGAGATTTGAATTCTTGTTACCTGAAAACTAGTCTGCAATACTTCTTCATCATCCAATAGCCTTATGGCACATTGAAATTCTGATTGATTTGATGATAGATCTTTTTTCGAACCAAATCTTGATAATAATGTTCTAGCCATGTTTGTTTGTTTGAATGTTGATGATTATGGATTATATGAATTTTAAAGTCGTTATATGAATGAAATTTAAAGTCGATGATGATGATGATGATTACAAGACACAAACAAACATGAAATGACAAAAAAAAAATGATGAAAAATTAAAACCGCACCAACATCTGAAATGATGACGATGACCACCACCACCACCACCACAAACACTGCCAACAAAATAATGCTGCAACACAAAAGTGACGCAATTTCAGTTTATAAATTGAATAACAGAGTGAGAGAGAGAGAAAGGGAAAAACCTTGACGAATTCAAAATTCAATTGTTGTTGTTGTTGATGATGATGATGATGCAGATGCAGATGTTTGTTTTGTTTTTCAAACAGAAGTGTTTTTTTTCTGTACATTCATGTCCAAGACTATCTCTATATAAATGAGGAAAATTTAAAAATCAATCAATCAATCAATCAATTATGGTCAACCGGTGGGATTTTTTTTTTAATTTGAGGAATTCATATTTCACTGATTGAATGAATGACGAATCAAAGTTGCACATATTTCATATACATTTCCGTTGATGAATTTTGAATTTTAAAAACAAAAACAAACGAAAAAATGAATTTCATTCATTTCCAAGGATTATTATCGCAACAATGGTTGATTCCGTGTTTCGTTTCGTTTCGTTTGTTTGTTTGTTTATTTGATGGAAAAATCAAATTCCCACCAAATTATATGGAAAAAAAATTCACAAATTGAACAGTGTGCTGTAAAAATTGAGCCAAACTGGACAAATGGAATGGAATGAAATTCTGTGCGCCATCTTTCTTTCAAGACAATCATAATATAAACCTAGATGCTCATCATCATCATCATCATCACATCACCATTCACATATATAACAATAATGTGTGGGCAACAAAAAAAAAAAACAATGAACACCAGTTTGGGGACCAGTTTCTCTCTCTCTCTCTCTCTCTCTGAATTACCCCGACACACACGAATTAAATTTGAATCGGGTTTAGGTGATTTTTTTTTTTTTTTTCATTTGGTTCACTGATGGTGGTAGTGGTATATACACACCTATTTTGAATGGATTTTTTTCGTTTTACTGAATGTTTTTTTTCTGGTTATTATCCGCAAAATATTCCAACAAGCAGCGCGAAAAAAAATATATCCTGAATATTAATAATACCGATTAGACAATGAAGATGGCGCTTCTGGTTGTTTATTTGATATTTTTTTTTTTCTGGTGGAATATTCAAGTTTTATTTTTCATATGGGTTCGAATGTCTGAAATCATCATCAGATTTTATTTGTTGAATAAAAAAAAAAGGTTGATTGGTTCAATGAAGAATTCAGATTCAAATCTCTCTCTATCTCTATCTCTGTATCTGTCGGTGAATATATAATATCGTTCCAATTTTCCATCGAACGCCCATCATCATCATCATCATTGTCGATGTGGGGAAAAAAAATGGAACACAAACACACATTTTATATATATAGAGACACAGAGAGAGAGAGAGATCATTCGATTGGGATTTGAAATTCGATAATAAAGTTTGAATAAATTTTTTTTTCTTTTTCAAGTTACGATGGAAAAAAAAATTTCACACACACACACACACACACACACACACACACACACACACACACACACACACACACACACACACAAACACACAGACACGCATATATGTTCGATTTGAAAATTTCCAATTTCTAAAATGGATTTTTTTTTTTTTTTGTCGTACAATTGACAATGATGATGACGTGTGTGTGTGTGTGTGTGTGTTTTGTCCAATAAAAAATCAATCGAAGAATATGGAGATAAACTGAAATCGAGTTATCGGACGACGACGACGACGACGACGACGAGGAGATAAAAGCAGTAGAATCATGATGAAAGAAAAAAAATTTCCAAATTTCATTCAATGAAAGAAAAAAATTTTCCGCCAATATAATCCAATTTTCGTTGAATAGAATATTCTTATTCTTATTCTTATCCTTTCATTCATTTTCAAATTGGTTTCGTTTCATTTGTTTTTTGTTTTCTTTGCATTAATTTGTTGTTCAAACGAGACAATAACAACAACAACAACAACAACAACCGATTAGTAGATAGAATCATTGATGATGAGCTTTTGAATAGTTTTTCTGTTTCTTTTGATTTGTTGTTATTCGAATAAAAGGATGATCCTCATCAATGATAATGATGATGATGATGATGTTGATTGTCAAGAATGGTACAAATTTAATGATGATGATGATGATGATTGTCTTTAAATTGACTTTTTATTCGGAATTTTCAAATGAATTTTTTTTTTTTTTTGTAATATTCCGTTCACAAGGATAAAGAATTTCGAATGTTGTACGTCTTTTTTGAATGACGTTTGACGATGATGATGATGTTTCGAATGTTTGTGTGTGTGTGTGTGTGATTTCTTCATGATTCTTGTGATTAAGTTTTCACATTTGTCAAAATTTTTTTTTTGTTTGGAGGTGGGGGTAAGTTTCGGATTTCTGTTTTCGTTGTGTCTGGTATTTTTGATTGATTGGATTTTCATTTTCATTTTTTTTTTTTTTCGTTTCTTTTTGTTTAGCCCATCATTATTTTCTTTTCATCTGCAGGTTTCTATTCTATTTGTTGTTGTTCGGGGCTGTTTAAATATTTTCGCATGGATGCATTCTGTTTCTATGGCCATTCCACATTTCGGTGTGTATGTGGTTAACGGGAGCCATTCTTTTACTTGCAAATTGGAACGTCAATCTTTTTTTCTTCTTCCTGGTCTTCATTTTGCTCAAGGTTTGTAAAACACACACACACACACAAACAAACAAACACTGATTAGATGGATGAGAATTGGGGATAGTTGTTGCTGATGTTGTTCAGGCACCAAACAAAAACCCCCAAACATTCCATATTGATCTGAACAAACAAATAGTAACAGAAGAATGTAAAATTTTTTTTTTTATTTTTTTTTTCATATTCTAGCACGAAGAATTTGATATTCCGTTTTTTGTTGTTGTTGTTGCTGCTGCTGCTGATTCTCTGGATATTTCTCTCATGGTATGGAAAAAAACAGAAATTCTTTACACACAAAACTTAATCGATTTTTTTTTTTTTTTCTTCAATGAAAACAGCTTCATATAACAACAACAACAACAACAACAATAACCAATCTCAATAATTGTCTTGAAAGATTTCTTTTTCATTGATAAATGAATGTATAGTGTGTGTGTGTGTGTAATTTACATCCACATGTGCATAATGTATACATACAATGTTTACAATGGGAAATTTTCATTTTTTTTCTTTCTTTCTTTTTACATCACCAACAACAACAACAATGTTTGAAAATGGATCAAGTATCCACTATGTGCACATGAAAAAAAATGAATGTTTCAATGAATGGTAATGATGATGATAACGATAGTTCTCTCTGTGCTGTTCATGATCATCAATAGATGAATAATAGAGCCATTCTTTTTCTGGTTTTTTTTTCTTCTGTTTGGTTTTTCTAATATTTGTCTTCCTTATATATTTTTTCATTTTTTTTTCTTGTTTCCAATTCCTTAGGACAATTCTTTGGAATTCAATTGCGATAGAAGAAGAAAACAATGAAAATTCATGGCTCCATGACACATACACACACAAACACACACAAACAGAGGTATTACGACATCACTTTATCATCTTTTTTTCACTCCTTTATTGTCAAATGGAATGAATGAATGAATGAACAACCGATATTCACAAATTTCAAACAGAATACAAACAGAGAGGGAGAGAAAAGAAGCAAATAGAATATGATCAAGAATCCAAAATAAAAATGATTGTTTTGCAGTTTTTTTCAACAACAACAACAACTACACATATCTATTCGCGAATATTATCATCTTTTTTTTGTTGTTTTTCTTTGATACAAACAAAATGGTCACATTATCTATGAACATCATCTATTTCTATTCATCACTCTGTTGTTTGTGTATTTGTGCTGATCATGAAATTCTTTAACCACCACCACCACCACCACCACCATCATCATCATCACTTTATTGTTATGATTGTGGTTTTGTTTTTGTTTTTTTTTTCATCCAGACGAAGAAAATATCCAAAAAATAGTCTCCAAGGTATAGTTAGAATTTTTATTTCTTTTCATTTTTTTTTTCATATATCGAGACATAATTTTTCTTCTCATGAAGTTTGTGTGTGTGTGTGTGTGCGGATTCGTCAACAATGAATTCGGTCATAGAATCGAATCATAGAATTGGGTAAAAACAGAAAAAAACAATGAATTTTTTGAATTGAATGTGTGTGTGTGTGTGTGTGTATAAAAGTTTTATTTTTCACTATAAGAAACTATTGTAATAATGCAGAAAACAGGAAAAAGTGATGATGATGATGATGATGAAGAATATAACATGACCATACTGATGAAATATATTGATGGTAAAATGAACATGAATAGAATACTAAATAAAACCGATTCCGGATTGAATTCCGAAAAAAATATATAATGCCAACCATGAATGAAACAATGATGATGATGATGAAAATAAAAATATGATGTACATTCCTGATCTCTGATTCTTTCTCGTTATGTCCATCTATTTATGTCTGTTAAGCCTGATTTACTGTTGTTGCGAATAGAAAAAAAAGAATCTCTTTAGCTTTTGTTGTTGTTGTTGTTGTTTCTTATCTTACCAACAGTAGTAACAACAACAACAATAAGAAAAGAAAAGATCGAGGTTTTTTTCTTCTTCTTTCTATGAATGGTTATGAATGAAGAATAAGAGAATTTTTTTCCTAGGATAGGGTTTCACAAAACAAAACACAAAAAAAATTACCGGAATCAAATTTTGTGTGTCTAATCTTTAGGTTTGTTTGAAAATTCTATTTTTGTCATTATTGTTGTCGTTCATTGAGATCATGACAAGCAAACAAATTGCCATCAAAATAACTAGAACCAGAATTATTTGTGAAATGTTTCACACACACACACACACATACATAACGGTGAAGAATTGATTCTAAACGCGTAGACAATGAATCAAT